GTTAGGAAAAGGGCGAAGTCTTTCTCTTTATTACTTCCTGCTTAAAGGGGGGGGGCGCCATATTGGGGTTTAGGAGGGTTGACCGGATGACAGTTGATACCCATGTAGAAGATGATGCCAGGTGTTTTAGCCAGGACAACTTCATCATTGGTGACTGCCCGCACCTTAGACTGGAAAAAAAGACAAAGTGCTATGAGGAGGCAGGCCACTATCATATTTAAGGACCCAGGGGAGGTAGAAGGAAAGTTACTTTTTGATTTAAATATGCCATTCCATCAGGACCACAATGAGATAGAATTCTGAAAAATAAGTGTGGGGTTAGGAGGAGTGAAGTCATGAGAGGTGATTATTCCCCCATCTTAAAGGGTAACAGTTAAAAGTCTCTGGTTCAGGAGTTGAGCTGGAAAGAATAACGGGTAGGGAGGGCCATAGCTGTGTCACTATAAGGGAGGTAAGGGCCTAGGCCCACAGGGATCTCACATTTGACTAAACAGCTGAGGGTAGAGAGAACTGAGACAGTTGTCATGTAGAACAACATGAAGACAATCTTACACATGATGTGGGAGTCTTTAGGAAAGACTGTCAAGAGTCCTGCTATATTTATATAATTAAACATGACTTAGCCTGAGAGTTGTGGCTGTGAGGCCTTGGTGAGATGGAGTCAGGTGGGTAATAGAAGATGAGATGACCGCTCAGGATGGTTAGATTCAGGGTTGGGAGGGCACTGCTTAGCTTGAGTGATGTGGAACCAGGATGGCAGTCCAGCAACTTTGACTGCTGTTGGGGTTGCCAAGAAGACCAGGTAGGGGCCACTCCACTTTGGTTGTAGTCCTTGGGATGATTTTCTGTAACAGGACTTTAGTAACTACGTCAGCAGTCTCCCTGGTTGTGGGAAAGGCTTTTATCTATCCTAAAAAAGTACAAACAAAGGTGAGAAAATATTTGAGAGTTTTGTAGCAGGGCATGTATGTAAACTCTACCTGCCAATCCTGACCAGGGTTATGTCCATGAAATGGATGAATAGGAAAGGAAGGGGGTGGTGTGTCCCTGAGGAGAGTTTTTACTGTAGAGATGACAGGTATAAGTTGTTGAGACTTCAGAGTGTCTTGGTCAGTCTGCCTAAACACAATGGAATAAAGAGGCATTTTTAAGATCTATGACTGTAAAGTGAGTGGTGGAAGGAGGGAGGTATATGAGAGAGCATACTATAAGGGTTTGGCACCACTAGCTGGATTGGGATAATGCCATTATTGATTACCCCAAGGTCCTACACTAGAGGATAAGACCCATGAGGCTTGAATACTAGAAGAACGGGAATATTATAAGCTGAATGGGTAAGTTTACGAAAACCCATTGTCTAAAATGTGCTTAATTATAGGATTAAGTCCCTGTAAATGTTTGGGAGCTATGGGATATTGGGGAATGCAAGGAAGAATTGAAGGATCCCTGACACAAATTAAAATAGGCATGGCATAGGCAGCGCAGGTGGGATTGGAGATATATCAAACTATGGGATCAACCAGAGAAGAAGGGAGTCTGGAACCTGCATGGAATAGACCCTGTCTGCAAAGGCTGCATAGGTTGGCCGTCAACACCCACTATAGAGACTGAGGATTTAATTTAGCAGCCTGAAAACTTCACGAAGAACATTATGCATGGCCTCTATGTCCACAAGTACAGAGAATGTCTTTCCTGAAAAATGGCAGCTGTCCTACACTCGAGCTGCAACAGGGTGGCTGCCGACAACCATGTGGCCTGATGGAAGGCTGGAATGCACCAAACAGGCAGAGAAAATGGCAACGCAGGGGAAGGGGACAAAGAACTCTCGGACGGAACAGACTCAGGTTGGGGGATTAAGAAGTTGGAGCATGGGGAGAGATGCGAAGGGAAGGATTAGAGGCTGCTGTGGATGAGGAAGGGGAGAGGATGGTGAAGGGTGCACAGAAACCTCTGGCTGAGAAGGCTGCAGGGTTTGGTATGAGAGATGCAGGGGAGGAGCTGTAAATACATGAGCTGCCCATCTAGAGGGGTCCAGTGAGGAGGGAGGGGGAGATCCTGGGGGAGCAGAGCGAGCCAGAAGTGCCAGAAGGGCCATCACAGAAGACAGGGTGAGAGAAGGACACGTCCTCAACATGAAAAAGGCCTCTAAAGATAAAGAGTTTCTGTCAACTTGCTGCCATTGTAATAAAAGTATAAAGAAAAGATCAGCTGTATGGTTTTTATAGCCTTCTAGGGGCCAAGAGCACCAAGGTCATGAACCAGGCGTCCCAGAGGTGTGTTTTTCGGGGGACAGGAAGGTGGTCCCATGACTGAATTATAAGTGAGCCGAGAGAACAACTTCACCTAGGGACATAAGAGCTATAGCTCCCCCCCAAGGAACATGGAAGCTATCTGGGTCACACTTAACAAAAGAGATTGTCACCTCTTTGGAAAGTGTGACAGGGAAAGTCCCAACACCTATTCTCCTCTGCAGGTCACTGAAGAGTGCAGGGCTGGGCCCTAGGGAACAAAAATATCAGTTTCGCCTCAACCCCTATGGCCTAAGGAGCATGAAAGCTGGTATCCCTGTTTGGGGATGGGAGGATGGGTTTTCTGTTGCAAGCTTGCTAAGGAAAGGAAACCAAAAACCCTAGACCCTAGCTCACCTGCGTGGAGTGAGGAAGGTCTCTGTTGCATGAAGATTAGGGGCAGCAAGTAAATAGTCCGGGAAGAAGAAAAAGGTGGTTCTTAGGCAGGGGGCCCAAACTGGGAGGGATTCCCAGGAGCCACTCCCTCTGCTGAGTCAAGGTACCATTATGAAAGAGAGACTATAAAGTAAAAATAACCCTTATTCCAAGGACATGAAGAGAACTCCATGACCACCGATGGCCTGGTTTTCTCTGGCCGGAACCTGGGGTACCCCTGACTAGGGGTGGCACTTAGGATGGGCATTGATGAGGCCCGAAGAGCTGATTGGAGTTTGCTTCCTGTGCAAACAGGAAGGGGAGTTGCAATTAAGACTGAGGAAGAAGCAGGAAGTGGTAGGTGTTCCCGCTTTGGCCTTCCGCCATGTTAGACCACCACCATAATTTCTACTAAGGCAAGAACCTTTCAAGATACAGCAGCCAATGCTTGGCTTCTAGGGTAATTATTTCAGAAAATGTGTAATCCTACCACTTGGGAGGCTGAGGCAGAAGGAGGGTTGCCCTAAGTTCAAGGCCAATGTGGGCCATATAGTGAGTTTCAAGACCATCCTCAACTACATAGTGAGACCCCTGTCTCAAAATGAAAAACAAAAATAAATGTTTTTACCTCCTACTTAGTGGTGGCAAAGATTAATTTTAGGAGAATCACAGTGGTGTGAGGGCAGGGAAGAGAGAAGTCAGCGATGATTTCAAAGACTCCAGAAGACCAACTAAGGTACTTCAGTGATTGAGAATTTGACTTGCTTAAATGAAACTGAAAAAAATCTTTTACCAAGAGGCTACATTTGGTAGTATTTGAGAAAAATTTCTATTTATGAGTCACTTTCTGGTGGCTTGACTACCTTATGTACAGAAGCAGACCCAGTTACCACTTCATATGAGTTACTTTTCTTTCCCATTCAGTATAGTCATAACCTGAACTTTTATTTCTGCTTCAAATGCCACATATCTGACATTAAATATAGGCATGAATTAGTGACTTTTTGAAGTTAAATTATACCCCTCTAATAAAAAGTTGAAGTCCTAACTCCCAGAATGTCAGACAGTTTGACCTTTTTTGGAACTAGAATCTAACCAAGTTAACGTCATTGGATCTAGACTCTAGCTCTTTATAACAAGGAGAAATTTGGACATAGCCATAGAAAGATATAATAAGAGAAAAAGAATATCATGTGATAGTGGATACAGAGATTTGGGATATGCTGCCACAAGCCAAGGAATGTTGATGGGGGATGTCAGCAACTGAAGGACGCAATGAAGGATCTTCCCCTGGTGCCATCTGAGGGAGCATAGTCCTACTGACTTGAGTTTTCAGACCTGGCTTCCAGCACTGAGATAAATTTCTGTTTTTTGGAGCCACTCACTCAGTTCTTGGTTTTTTGTGAACGCAACACCAGGAAACTATAGTAACATAGGATCCATGAGTAGTAGCAGACATTTTCTTGTTGTATCAGAGAGGCTATTTCTACTATGTCTTGTGTACTTTCTCAGGTTCGTGAAACCTCTCTTCTAGGAATGGTTTCCTCTCTCATTTTGTGTTTATTTTCATTAAAACTCTCCCAGAACATTCATGAATAGAATCTTTTATTGCTTCTGAAGTTTAATTCTGTAATACTGGAAGGTAGAGTGAAGAAGATGATTTTTTTCTTTTGTACATTAATAATTTATTAGGAAAGTCAGGTAAAGTGTAAAGCTTGGTTATGTGTATATATATTATATCCTGTTGTCTTAAGGGACCCCCATCACTTGGGGAAAGTGATACTCTTCCCTTGATTTGACCGTTTAGCTAGAAACTGAAGACTGTCTTTCTAAACATTCTTTTACACATAGAAAGTGGGTTTAGGTTACCTTTTCCTTGCTGCTTGCATATCTGTATGTTCTGATTGATTCTAGTTTTGTTAATTTATTTGTATATTACTTTCTATTTTTCATAGTGTAAATATTTTTAGTCTCATATTTTTCATAGTTTGAATAATTCAGACATTAATTCAAGGGTATTTTTCTTGTTCCCAAAGATATGGAAGAACTATAGTAGGAATCATTGGTGAGGGCAAGTCTGGGTTCGTATTTTTTCACTGACTCACTTTTCACGTTTTTGCAGAACTTCTCATATTAAGTAATCTGTAAAAAGAGAGGTCTTGATTAGTAAGTGACCGTTAGTGAACTGCCTCTAGATGCACGTTAATATCGAATGAGGAATTTAAGCAATATTTTTACTTTTAGTTTGATGAATAATGTTTGTTTATGTGTGTTAAATTTTTAAAACTGTAAGCACAAGGGACATACTGCAAGATTAAAAGGTGCTTTCTTTTATAGGTGTGTGTTTTGTTGTGCTGTTTTTACATGAAATCAAAATGCCGATAAGACCAGATCTCCAGGTATGTAGTTCTAGACCAAAAGCAATAATAGTAAAACCTTGGATTGTGACTAACTTGTTCCTCGAGTGTTCCACAAGATGAGCAAATATTTCTCATTTTAACTTGATAAATGAGCAGTGCTGTGCAATAGTGTATAGGTAATACATGGTGCTGAACATCACATGATCCACGTGAGCCAATGGCTGTTCCTCCCCACTGGGAATTTGAGTGGTTAACTCTCACAGCAAGAGGCTGTGGAGATTTCTTGTATAGATGAAAAATCTTTCACTTCAAAGGAGACTAGGGAGATGTGTAAAATGTGGGAAGGAGTACAAAATTTTGTAGAAAAGTATCATCCAAATAAGGATATAGCATTGCAAGCAATAAATCTGTTTAACAACACTACAGTGTGCATTTCTGTCAGATTCCTCTGAAAAGGCAAAAGCAAGTATCGGCGGGGAGGTTCCTTGTTAAAGTTTCAAGGGAAGGAAAAGGTTCCCTTGAGCCAATAGATAGTGGTGAAAGTTGCCCTACACAGTAGCTCTCCTATCCTTCACACTGGCCGGCCACAAAGGTTTTCAAAGATAGGTGCAGGTGAATTTGTTTATATATATATATATATATATATATATATATATATATATATATATTGTATTGCAGTATTGTAATTGTTTTTGTATGAATATTTTTGGGTTGTGGGATGAATTATCTGAGTTTGCATTATTTGTTATGGGAAAATTTGCTTTGATTTCCAAGTGCTTTGGATTACAAGCATGTTTCCAGGATGAATTATGCTCACAAGCCAAGATTTTACTGCATTTTAATTTTTAAAATCTTCTTTTGTGTACTTATAGGTATTTAGCACATACCAATAGCAATGACAAAGTGCAGATTTTTATAAAATGGTTAAATAGCTAATGTAAAATAAAATGTAACATTTGATAAATATATTTTCAGAAGCTATATTAACATATAAAGTACTAAAGATGTGCTGGATCTATCTATCTTTTACATTGGAAGAATTATTCACTGATGGGTGTATTATACCCAGATATTTTTATTTCAGCTGGTAAAATTGTAAGACACATTTAGATAAATGAAAATTTTTAAGTATCTACTTAACATGTACGCAATGTACTATCAAGTCTCTTCAGTGATCTGATTGTATTCTGAAAAGTTACTACTGAGTTTTTGTGAAAATAATTCTCTGGTTGCATAAGGTAACCAGTTTGTGTTTTGATTCAATATATTTGCCTTTCACTATATTTCCCTAGCAGTTGGAAAAATGCATTGATGATGCATTAAGAAAAAATGATTTCAAGCCCTTGAAAACACTTTTACAAATTGATATTTGTGAAGATGTGAAGATTAGATGCACCAAACAGTTTTTCCACAAGTTGGATGACCTTATATGCAGGGTAAGCATTCATTTTGGTGAATGTTTGTTAAAATATAAGAATTTTTTTTCTAGAAAGAAATACTCCATTAAATCAATGGAAAGGATTGCATCAGTTTGTTTAAAATTATACAAATACTTTTTAGTTTGTAGTGCTGGGGATTGAACCCCGTGCCTTTGTACTGACTTGTATCTCTCAACCTTTATTTTTGTTTGAGACTAGGTCTCAGCAAGTCGTGAGGTTGCCTGGTTGGATTCCAAGTTGGAATCTTTTTCTTAGCCTCTCAGAGTGACTATTATTAAATATTACTAACTGGGGGAAATGATTACCTATTTGAAGTCTAAAAACTTGATCATTATTAAAACCTATAAGCATACTCTTGATGTGGGATACAATACAGATAATTATGGTACTTTTAGAAAAAAAGAAAACTAACAAAAAACCGTGAAATTGATTTCACTTATATAAAGATGTTTTCACACTTCAGAAAAGGTAACTACAGTTAGTTTCCTCCAGTACCTAAGATTTGCGATGTCTTAGAGATTGAATAACAGTTTCTTGGATTTGTCAGTGTTAAATACATGGAACTTTTTGGAATGGAAGGCATTTGATTCATTTTATCATAATGTGAAATTTCTTGACTCTATGCAGATCTTCACTTTTTCCCTGAGTTTGTCATTCACTGACTGGGTGATTTAGGGAAAATTGCTTTTTTGAACCACATTTTCATCCTTTGCAGTATATAGACAATGATAATGCCTGTGTTGTGGATTCTGAGATTTCCTGTGTGTATAATGCTCCTAACGCAATGTTTATTCCTTAATACTTTGGATTTGCAGAAATTTAAATACATACTTTCCATTTCAGGAACTTAATAAAAAGGATATTCAGACTATTTCAGTCATTTTGGTTTCTATTGGAAGATGTGGCAAAAATATCAACATACTAGGACAACCTGGACTTCTAACAATGATAAAACAAGGACTAGTCCAAAAGATAAGTATAGAATATGTAACATTCACACAAAGAAAACATGATTAAAGGTAGAACTTTCCTATGAAGACAGTTAAAAATAGTGAAATGCTAAAAAAATAAATTAATAAAACGTGGAGAATAAAATAATTTTATAATTTATGTTGTATCATACAAAGGTAAAGATTGCAAGGAAACTGTACATTATGTGAGCTCCATGACAGTTGTAGGAAGTTGAGGTCATAAAACTTTTATAGTCCTTACTTGGCTTTGGTTTCCCTTTAGTCCTCGTTCATCATCTCCTAGGATAAAATAGAGGATACTGAATTTTGTCTTTTTGATTGCTGTATAACCAGCATCTAGAATAGTATCGAGGTATACAGTACTCATATATCTGAATTAATTGATTAGACTAAAATAATGCTAAAACTTTTCAAATAGTAAGCATACTAGAGTAATTAAATTTTGGTGATAATTTGTTTTCATCTATGATATATACTTGCATTATAAAAAACAAAGGGAAAAATAAAGATCCTGTACCTGGGATTAGGATTCATTTTATCCCTTCTTGTCTTAAACATGAGAAAACATATACATTAACTTGAAAACAAAAACAGGATATTAAGAGCATAAACTTATTTTGATATATAGGTGAAATAGTTACATTTTTTTAAAGACAAGGTTTTGCTATGTAGGTCAGGCTAGCTTTGAACTTACAATGTAGCCAATCTGGGCTTGAACTTGGAGCAGTCCTCCTGCCTCAGCCTCCCAAGTGCTGGGATTGCAAGCATGTGCCACTGTTCCTAGTTTGAAATTTTAACTTTTAGCAAATCTTTATTCTAAGGTTTACCATATATACAAGTACATCTTAAAAGTTATTAAAATGGAATTTAAAATAACAGATAATTATTTCTTTTTTTTTACATGATTGTCTGGTTTGAAAAATCCAAGGAAATTATTTTGAGTCAAGGAAATTCAAAAGATGAAGCTGTTATAAACGTGATAGAAGACTTATTTGATCTTTTTATGGTAAAAACCACATTGATTGACATTATAAAGCATGTATTTATTTAAAAAATAGTGTAGGTTCTCCATTTCTTGAAACTTCAGTGTTAACAGATTAGTTAGACTTTGCTGTATTATTCATATTGTATTAAGCATTTATAGTGATTTTAATATGGCTAGTTAATAACAAGAAGTTAAATATGTTCTGAATTAAATACAATGTCACTAGGGATATAGCTCAGTGGCACAGTCCTGCCTGGCAAGTGCAAGATACTGAGTTCAATTCCTAGTATCAAAAAAAAAAAAAACCTACAAAGTAATGATTACTTTTAAGTAAATACAATGTCATTTTAATACCATTTGTAATGACTTATAACAGATGAATTATAAATTATTATTCTTTTTTAGGTCATACATGACGTCAGTGATGAAGGTAACAAACATTGTATTTGTTAGAGCAATAATTTGCTACCTGTACTATAATTTTGCAATTCCCATATTTGTCCCCAAATTAGGAATTCACTAATTCAGGGACCCAAAATTTTTTCCTGTAAAAGACTAGCTAGTAGAGTTTTAGACATTTTGGTCAAGAGAGAGAGGGAAAAATGAGAATATTATTTACTTACTTGATAAGAAAAAATTTCTATAATGTTTTATTATTGAAATTAAGATTGATTAATTTTTTTATAATACAGACTTACTAGTGAGAATAACATTCTTATTTAAAGGGATAACATTTAAATTAGGGTTTAAAGTTAGTGCTTCTTATTTTCAAAATTGACTAGAGATGTTCATTTGTTATTAATACAGAGATTTGTTTATGCATGTGACATTAGAGAATGTCTTCGTGCAGAGACTATCAAATACCACTAGCAGTTTAGGACTATTTTGATTGAACATTTTCATTGCTTAGAAGGCAGTAATAGAATTCTGTTTTGTTTCTAATATTTGCTTTGTAAAATATGATTGCTTTAAAGATTAATCACATGAAGGTCACATGAAAGTGCCTTGATTGTGCAATTAAACAGAATTGATATATGAAGTTTTCCTTTTGAATTTTTTAAAACATTACTAGTCCTGTGGTTGGATCTTAAAAAATTACAGCCCTTATAAATTTATGTGGTAATATAGACTGGCTTGATTACTTTTTTCTCATTGCTGAGACAAAACACCTAACATCCAAAATTAAGAAGGGAAAGGTTTATTTAGCTCATAGGTTTTGAAGGTTTCAGTCTGTAATCAGTTGACTTCAAGGCAGAGTGGCATGGCACAGGGGCAACACTGTCACGTGGCAGAAGACAGCAAAGAAAGGAGCACAAAAACAGGGACGAGCAAGACTGTTTTCCTTCCTTACATTGTACTTAGGCCAATCCCTCCTCCAGTGCGGGTGTGGCACTCACAAAATCTCTTTGCTGGGCCAGGGATATAGTTCAGTGGCAAGGGTGCCTTCCTGGCAAGTGCAAGGTCCTGAGTTCAATGCCTGCTACAAAACAAAACAACCAAAATCTCCTTGCCCTCCTATTGCACAGTATGAGGTTGTTTACAAAGTGAGGACCCTGGCTCCCTGCTGAATAGCATAAACTTCTAGACTTAAGTTTACACAGTATATCAACCATAACAGAAATGTTGCCACTTAGTTTAACTTTTCAAAGTTAAAACTGGAAAAATCTAGAGTATGTAAAGCAGCTTGATTTTACTTGCCATTCAGTAACCTTAGTTATCATCAAAAGAACTTTGTTGAAATGTGTAAGAACTGTATTTTCAGTGTTATAATTTGGGGCTCAGTTCATTAACCCGAGTTCTTAATGCGGCAGCCACAATTTAAATACCAGAGCTTCACTGTTCAGTAATCATGTGTGAGTACAGTTCTCATTCAGAAAATGTTTTGCCTTGGTCCTAAGTATAAGGAGACATAAGATTTTGGTGCTGCTCAGCCATTGTATTGCTGTGTAATAGGGCAAGTAGGAGACTCAACTTCTGTTTCTAATAAAAATTCTGTTAATTGACAATGGCTGAGTTTTATGAGATTATCTTTGAAACTGGTTTATTAAAAATAATAGGTTTAATATGTTCCTCAGAAGACCTATGTTTATTACAACTTTGCAAATAGAATGGCAGCAAGTTTAGTTTGTATGACTGATTTGCTAACATTTTATGTTTTGAAAAATTTTTCAATTGTATGTGGAAAATGCAGAGGATGTTACTACTACTTCATCCTTCACTTATGGCTAGCAAGTGTCTTGTTCCAGGCAGTCAATTTCAAGTTATTTTCTCTTTGTGTGAGTTGAGGAAGACTTTCCCAGGATTGGTAATTGCAGTTGATATAAACTATTTGCAACCTTCAAAGCCAGCAAAGTTTTAGATGAATTATTGTTGATTTAAGTAACAGTTAATTCTGCCTTTCCATTGATTTGATTTTTTTACAATTACATTGAAATATAGCCTAAATTTTTAAGTTTTTAGAGAAAAAGCCCTAAACCATTATGTATTTTCATCCCAGTTTTTGCAGTATAGTTGTGTTGGAAAGTTGTACATTTGGTGTAACACTGTTTCTCTGACTTAAAATATTTTTAAAATGTGCTTTGTGAAGCAGCATGTAGAATTTCCTTGTGTCTGAATGTATTCAGTATTGATAGTGCCGTCCTTTCAACTGAATTATAGCTTAGTTCATTAACATATTTTTGAAGGCAAAATATGTCGACTGTCTTTATAAGCACAAAAATGTTTGAGGTATGACTAAAAATTAATGATACCAGTTTTCCAAAATGCTTCAAAATAGAAATTTGCAGTTTTGCGCTGTATTTTTTTATATACCTGAAATGTGAAGCTGCAATGCGAGGTTGCTTTATGCTTCATGGTGTTCTGACCAGTTGGCCTTATTCAGAACTGTGCTAGGATAGGCTTTCCTTTAATTGAGAAAAGGACTGAAAATAATTTATAATTAACACATATTAATACTTTAACACTCTTATTCAGGTAAAAGGCAAATAGTGGACAGTTTCATACCTCGAATTTGTGCCTTGGTTATCGATTCAAGAGTGAATATTTCTTTTCAGCAGGAGGTAAAAATCATTTGACTATCTTTTAAAAACCTAAAAATAATGAATTGGAGAAAATGTGATAATTCACTAAATGAAAAAGTTATTTTTTGTTGGACTAAATTAATCTTTGGAATATATTTCTGTTGTCTTTATAATTAGTTTTAAGACCATATTTCCTGTTTAAAATTTGTATCCATATGTGTATGCCTAGAAAATAAATTTCACTATCTCAGATTAAGAATTAAGTACTTAAATGTCAAAACTAACCTATATGTATATATGTACATGGATGTAACCATAAGAATAAAAATAAGGTAACTTTTTGGCATCCTTAAATCTTAAAATAGAATATAAAATGTGTAATTTATAACCAACTGTCTCTCAGCAGAGGACTTAAATCTAAAACATACAAAGACTTGAAAAGAATCAAACCCCCAAGAATCAGAGACCTAGTCCAGAAATGGGCATCAGATGAAGAAATATACAATTGGCAAAAAATATTTGAAAAAATGTTTAACATTGTCACTTAAGAGATGCAAATTAAAACACTGAGATTCCATCTCACCACAGAAAGAATGGCTAGTATCAACAAATCAACTAGTAACAAATACTGGAAGGGAAGGTGGGGAAAAGGAACCATTCTCCACTATTGGTGGAAATGTAGACTGGTGCCACCACTGTGGAAATAAGTATGGAGATTCCTCAAAAACTAGGGCTATAGGTCCCATTTGACCCAGCTATTCCCCTTCTGAATTAAAAACATCGTACCACAGTGTTCTTATAGCAGCACAATTTGTCATAGCTAAATCTTGGAAATGATCCCAATGCCCATCAGCTGAGGAAGGGGTAAAAACTAGGTGGTCTTTTTATACAATGGAGGACTACTTGGCCATAAAGAAGGATAAACTTGAAACTTACAGGTAAATGAATATAATTTGAGACCGTACTCATGAAATCAGACTCACATGTGTAAATATCATATTGTCTCCTAACGTGAAAAGCTAAGAGAATAAGATCCAAAATGTACAATAGATCCTGTGAAATCAGAAGAAACTGTTGGAAAGGAAATGAAAGGAGAAAAGGCAGGAAAAGCAATATATGTGTGTGTGTGTGTGTGTGTGTGTGTGTGTGTGTGTGTGTGTGTATACGTATAGTGATGGTTACACTACTAATTTGGTTTGTGTGAATTGTTTGGTCTGATTTACATGCCTATAACTTGTACTCTGAAAAACTACTCTGAAGATTACAATGCGCAATGTATGAACCATTGTTGCTGTCCTATTATCTTGTTTTAAGAGTTTGTTTCATTGGTTTTTTTTTGTTTTCAGTCTTTAAAATAGACAATTATAAAAAATTATTTTGCAAAGTATAAATGTTTTAAGTACAGAGGTCATGTTCTATTTTTGGTACCTTTCAGTTACGCGTTTAATACTGACTGCCTTTTTGTATATATATATATATGTATATACACAGACACATATATGTAAACATACTTTAGTCACTTCTATACATAAAATTCAGTGATTAGGAACAAATTAGACTAGTAAGTTTATGTGTCTAAATGATGTTTTACTTAATATAAGATTAATTCATTATCTATTTTTTTCTTTTCTAGATTTTAAAAAAAATGAATGCCATGCTTGACAAAATGCCTCAAGATGCCAGGAAAATACTTTCTAACCAAGAAATGTTAACTCTCATGTAATAATTTGTACTATATTTTATTAGTACAAACCAGAAATTTAAAGCATGTTTTATAAGACAACTATGAATTTGCATAGTTGTAACTTAAAAGCTTTGTTTTTTTAATGTAATTATGTATTTCTGCAAAAGTTAGTTATACTACCTAGCTGTACATTTCAGTGACTTCCCTCATCCCAAAAGCTTGAGCTTTCTACTTAATTGGTAATAGTTCAGGATAAAATCTGTTATTTTAATTCACAGGAGTAGTATGGGAGAAAAGATTTTAGATGCTGGAGGTAAGCATATCTTTTCAAAATTTGGAATTATTTCAGGTTTATAACTAGTATATAATATCTTTGATTAAAATAATATTGCACTGTGATGACAGTAAACTGGAGTAAAATCAAACAATTTTGATATTAAGTGCAAAAAGTCTTTGGGACAAAATAATTTTTATGACACTAGGAATTAGATAAATATAATTTTTTCTAATGCTAGTTTATAAATAACTAACTTAATTTTCAAATAGACCTGGCTTACCTGTGTAGTGATATTCCTCCCATGATATTTTATGAAATTAGGATGTCTAATACCCTTAAGATTGACAGATGTTTTTAAACAGTATGTTTAGCAAAAGAACTTAAATGTAGGTTTTGGTAGGTTTTCTGTGAGAGAATTTTGATGCAGTAATTTATGTAAAATAAAGCATAAATTAAAAGTAGCCTAGGAAGCTATAAGCATGTACAAAAGTGTGTAAAGATTGTATTTATGAATTAAATTACAACCCTAGAAATGAAAAGGTAGAGTTTGAATATTTAAGAATTTCTTTTAAATTTTATTTTACATTTCACTTTTTTGTTACTCGAATGGATTAAGTCCTCTAATGATATTTCTAATTTATATAAAAAAGTGAAAGATGAATAAAATGCTGCACTGTTTTTGTCTTGTTCTAATACCTTATAAAATGTATGAACTTTTATAAATTTAATTTTCATAATTTCTAATCATACATTGATTAATAATTTTTTAATAGATTATGACTTGCAGGTGGGCATTGTGGAAGCTTTATGTAGAATGACTACAGAAAAACAAAGACAGCAACTGGCAAGTCAGTGGTTCTCAATGGATTTTATTGCTAATGCATTTAAAGAAATTAAAGACTGTGAATTTGAAACAGTAAGTAATATAAAAACAGCAGAAATTAACAGATGTTTTTTATTTAATTGTGACTTCAAAGTCTTTCTGTCTTTTTAAAATTAGGATTGCAGGATATTTCTCAATCTTGTGAATGGCATGCTTGGAGATAAGAGAAGGTAAACATATAATCATTTACTAGTAAACACGACTCAAAAGAAGCATCCAGTGTTGAATTCCTATAAATGTAACTATTTGTTGTTATGTTTAAGTGTAAAGTATGTGTGGATATTTAATGTAAAACTATTCTATATAACATCATTTGGTAAATTGCTGTACTGGTTATCTGAAATAATCCTCTAGTGGCCTTTATTTTGCCTTGCATACTGTAAACAGGAAACATTCATTTTAATTTCATATTAATAATTTTGAATATCTAAATTTGATTTACTATATTCAGAGTGGTGTGTATGTTATTATTTAATGACAAATGATAAAATGATAAAAGATATATACATGTGTTGCTTGAACTACATCTTCATCTACATCATGGATTGAAAATACATAGCAAACAAGTTGTCTTCCTTTGTAGGATTTTTCTGAGGTTAGGAATGAGCGTAGGGTATGTAGGAGGTATTCTCAATGAATGAATTTACATGCATTTTACTTTCTAAGAAAATGAAAGGATGTTCAGTACAAGGAGTCATATTACTAGACTTGAATTATGGGTTCTCCTATCCAATGGGCAGATTTTTAAACCTTGTCTCTGTTTCTTTGTCTGTGCTGTACTACTAGTAACACCTACTTCATGTTTGTTGTGAACATTAAATGAAATAGTTTGAAGTATTATCTTACCGTGAAATAATTCTAAGAATTTAGCCATTTTCATTCGAATTCTTCACTTACATGCTTCTTTTTGCAAATCCTATGAGCGCTTCCATTGTGTTAAAGAGAATAAGTGGTATCTGCTCACACTTGATACTGCATATAAAAAATTTAATGTAATTATTTTAGTCAAAGTGATAGGTTGAATAGTATCCTCAAAATAATACACTTTTCTCTACCCAACCTTACTTTCATTACTTTTTTTAAAAAAAAATATTTAAAAAGTCTCATTGCTGTCTGATTTGTCTTGATTCTAGGCATGATTTTTTATGACTAAACAAGATTATATTATGAAGGTTTTATTAATCTTTTAAACTACTTTGTATTTTAGGGTTTTTACATTTCCTTGTTTATCAGCATTTCTTGATAAACATGAGGTAAGTTTTAAAATGTAAAGTTTTAGTTATAGGATGAAATTTGATGCAAAAGAAATTATGGGGTATAACTGATAAAAATACAAAAATTGCTATAATTAGATCACAAAGACAGCCAATGTGGTATGCTTTATATGCTAGCGACACCAGAAAAAGTTCTATTAGCATATTTATAATCAGGAATCTCTAAAATATAAAGGTTGTAGCTTCTAGTCAAGTCCGTTGCTTTTTACTCATGAATAGCTCCACATTAATATTTTCAAAGTGTTAGCACTTGGAATATTTGTGACTTCTTGAAGCCACCTGATTTCTGTGTAAGGTATTAAAGTATCTCCTTCGATTGTCTCTAAGCGTTCTATTTGTCTACTCTCTTTACCTAGCTATGCTTGTTGTTTCGTTTTAAAAAAAAAGATTTAGGGAATACACTTTTATGGAATATAGTGTTTCTGGTTCCAGTATTAAAAATGAAGCCAATTAAGATAATCAAACATTGGTCATTATTATAAACTTACCATAATTTTCTGTTGCTCTTGTAAGCATACTACATGGTAGTTTTATATATTTATTTTCTTAGCTGCAAATACCATCAGATGAGAACCTTGAAGACTTTTGGATCGATTTTAATCTTGGGAGCCAGACTGTATCATTCTACATTGCTGGAGATGATGTAAGCTTTATTCAAAACATGTTTGTGTGTGTGTGTGTGTGTGTGTATGTGTATCAAAAAACATTTAAATTTATTTTATGAATATAGATGTCTTTGTATATTTATACTTGTAGTCATTCCTTTAATTTTAGTGTTAGCTGTTACAGTTTTGACTAGCTTAGTAGCCAAGTAGACTAATTAGAAATGAAAATTATTTCTGAGATTTTTGTTGAACAAAAGTCAATACTAAATTTTAATAGTTTTTAATGAGATTTTCATAAATTACATTAGTGGTACACAATTTTACATTTACATGAATGAAGTTAATTGACTTTTAAAAAGACAAAAGCAGAGACAGAGAATTTCAACAGTAGAGTGTATGCTTAACATGTGCAAGGCACTGGATTTGATCCCAGCACCACATTTAAAAATAAAAAGACAGATACTTGTTTCTCATCTACTGTATAGAGCTACTCTATCAAAACTAACATTATGAATGAAAAAGCCATCAATCATTATCTGTTAGTCTGCTCTTTTAATATATGGGTTGATATATAGATTGCATTTGAAAGTGAATTTTCTTTTTTGCTGTATCATATCTGCATTTAAACCTTCTGAATGCAGGCTCTACTTACTAACCGCTTATTTTTACTGAGAGAAATGCTACAGTCATTGTTTTGTGTACCTCTTACTTGGTACACTGATACATTCTAACTCAAGTTGTATAGTCACTTCACCAAATCCTGAATGAGACTTTACAGCTTTTACTAATTTCACTGGCTGATGTTTTAGTCATATTATTGTGTTTCTTAGAATATTGCTTTTTTGTATAAAGGTAAATTTTACCAGAGAAATTAGCCAAATATCTCTTATTATTTCCACATACTTTGTTTTTATATTACTTTTTAGAATGCTTAGTCAAAATCTAGTTCTAGAAATTTGTACTATTTCTCCCGGAGTTACAGTTTTCATTAGTACATTTCACCTAAATGGTTTGTTAGTAGTAGTATTAACTGAATTTTCTTTCAGAAACAGAAATTTTGTTTTTATGAGAAGCCAGTAGTATTGCTTGGCTAGAAAATAATCCAAAATATAGCGTACCTGTGAGGGAAACCATAAAACACATTTATAAAGTATGTATTAGATAGTGATTAAGATGCTGAGGGATTCGTCTTCCTAAAAATGTATTTCACATCCTCTCTGTGTTTTCCTTATATTTTCTCTTCCGCTGCCTAGAAATAATTCCGCACATAGTAACAGCTTAAACTATTGTTTTGTTTGTTTCATACAGTTTACAAGGCTCCATGTGCCTAATTCCTGGCAGTTTCTCTGAAAATCTGTTATCATTCTCTTGTGTTGAAGGTATCTCTTTTTCTCTCAAAGATCATGTTCATCTCAGGTTTCACTGTCTCCGGTGTGTCAGCCTACAACATCTCCTTTAAATCTTGCGTGTTAATTCCTTCCTAGTTAGGTTTCAGCATAAATCTTACTTTCTTATGGAAGTAGTCTCTGGTCACTCAGTATGATATAACTCTGTAGCCACATACATTGCCCTGTTTATTTCCTATGTAATAGTAGTTGCCCCTTAAAATCATTTTGTTTATTCTTTGTTGTCTATTTCCATTGGAGAATATGATATTCATGGAATTAGGACCAGCTTTCCCTTTTGTATAACTATTCAAAGGCTCAGATTGAGCCCTTAAATGAATAAGTGGACTGTTGCAAGATATGTGGTTAGTGCATACAGTGCATGGGGATTGGAAAAAATAAGGCATTGAAGAGCCAGTGATGAATATGAGAGGTAACAACAATGAGTATTTATCAAAATTTGCCTAGTTGTCAGAAATACACAAGGCACTGGGGAGCACGTTCATGTAAAACGTACTGTCTGGGTGTGGGGATGAATTTAAGAGAGGCAAGACTAGAGGCGGTTATGAGGATTTTGTAATCCTGTGAGAAATCACAGTCACATAGTTGGGATGAATGAATCCTAAAGAGACTGAAAAGGAGGAAGAATTGAGCAAACTTGTTTGTAGTAAAAGTGGATTAATAAAACTTAGGTAACTAGATAGATAGAGATGCTATCATATATTTTATAGGGGAAGCAGTCTAGCTTTAAGTTGGAGACATTTGTGGACTATTTTGCTGAAGATATCTGGTAGGCAGTTGGATATCTTGGTTTCCTAATCACCTGGAAAAACTCAGCTACAAGCAGAATTATAGAAGCTACTTATATGTAGATGATAAATAAAACCATTGAATTGAATGAATTCCATTTTAAAATAACCACAGAAATGTGCATTGCAATAATATAGGTAGAAGAAACTAGTCCAAAGGATATATAAAGATTAAGTTAAACTAAAACAGATTAAAAGAGTATAGAGTACTACGTAAGTCATGGCAAAGAATTTTTTTGTTGTTTTGTTTTTCCTTTTGTTTTAAGAAAGCATGAAATATGTCTAGGATGTTAAAATAAAAACTAGTGACTCATGGAAGAGCAGTGTCACTTAAATGATAAAAGTTCTAAGCATTCTTGAAAAGTTGAAATCTTTGTAAAAGAGGTCAAGTTAAGGGGAAGAGAGACAGGGTAATAGAGTAATATCAAGTAAAAGGAAAGATTCAGGATAACTAAAAGGAAACTATTGGAGGGAAATAGATCACCCACCATAAAATATGGATAATAGGAGGTAAGAATATTTGGGGATTTTATGCTATGATTTCTAGTCCTAAATTTTTTTATAAATTGCACATAATAATAAAAAGTGGAAGCAGTTAACAAGTTACCTAAGGATATGAAGAAGAAGCAAGAGTCACTTTAAAGTTGGCACTGGCCTGTATCTCAAAGCAGAAAATTCATGTGAGGCTTCTCAAAACTTAGGAGAGAAACAAAAATGCCACCACTTTTCTCTTGACACTGAGGTTTTGAGATGTGGCAAAATTAACACCCTAATCGGGGAAAGATACTGTTAGGATTTTAAAATGAGTATTACTGTGTACTTCTTTTTATGGTTAAGACTTAGAAAATAAAATTAACACCACTGCATAAAAAATGACATCTTTTTTGTCCATTCATCAGTTGCTGGGCATTTGGACTGTTTCCCAGATTTAGGTATTACAAAGTGTGCCTCTATAAACATGGGTGCACATATATCACTGTAGTATATATTGAGAAGATACCAAGAAAGGGAATACCTGCGTCAAATGGAACCTTTAATCCTAGATTTTTGAGGAATCTCTGCATTGATTTCCACCACAATGAAGGATAAATTTGAGACATTTATAGCTAAATGGATAGACCTCGAGACCATACTTATAAGTGATACAAATTGGGCACATGTGTAAATACCATATTGTGTCTCTAGTGTGAGAGTGAAAATGTAAATAGAAACCAAAATATATAATAGGTATTGTGAAATAAGTAATTGTTCAAAGAGAAAGAGGAATGGGAGGATGGAAGGGAAAAGAAAAAAAGGATAAACGGAAGCAAAGGTTTGAAAAGGGAGAAGAGAGGTTAAAAAGAGGCGAGGGGAATGGAAAAAAGGAATTAAGATATATCGTGTACAGGTATAAATTCCCTACAGTGAATGTGATAATTATGCATATTTAAATTGTGCCAATAAAATTATTTTAATTAATAATAACAGCACCATTGTTTCCTCTTAAGCATAAACAAATTTATTTAGCATTTATTATGTGTAGTCAGTTGAGCAAGAAATATGTTTCATGAACTTAGTGCTGTTTCTAAAAATAATTTGTAGTTTATATATCTTAAAATTGATGTTTAAATAAATTTTAATCAGAACTAAGTGCCTATTAATGATCAAAGTCTGTTTTTAAATTTAAGGATCATCAATGGGAAGCAGTCACTGTGCCTGATGAAAAAGTGCAAATGTACAGTGTTGAAGGTACTAATTGTCTTTTATAATTATCTTTTAGTTCTTATGTGGAATAGGAATTGCATCTTCTCTGGGATGAGAACATAGACTGATGAAAACAAAGTCAAAATTTTCAGATTTTAGTATTTATCAGTATGTCAAATTCCTTGTTTACATTTTCCTCGGATCTCCCAGTTCCCTGTTCTCCATGTAGTCTGAAGCCAGCGATCAATCTGACTGCTTTCTGGTCAGTGTTTCTAAGGCTGTTGCACGTTCAGCTCATTTTGATTAAATCCAAATGTCCAATTTCTGCATTTCTGTAAGTAGAATTGTATGACACTACTGGACAAAATTATAATTTGGCAGATAGGTCCCATCATAAATTTAGATACTGACATTTTAATTATTCAGTGAACATTAAAATAGCTTATTGTGGTTTTTACCTGCATTTTCCTGATGACCAGTGATGTTGAGCACCTTCTATATGCTTATTGGACAGTTATATATTTTCCTTTGTGAAATAACTTTTTTTTAAGTTTTTCTGATTGGACTATCTTTTTATTATTGACTACCAGGAGTTCTTATGTATCCTGGATAGCAGTCCTTTGATTGATATGCTTCATATTTTCCTTTGGTCTCCATCTTGTTTATTCATTTCTTAATGATGTCCTTGGTGATACCATTAAGTCTACTTGAACAGTTTTATGATTGTTTCTATAACCTAAGAAATCTTTGCCTACTTCTCATGTCACAGAGAGTTCTTCTGGTTTTCTGTAAAACCTTTATAGGCTTATTTGCATTAGTATGATCCAGCTCAAATGAATTTTTAGTTATGGGATCATGCAGGAATTGAAGTTCTTTTTTATATGGCTGTGCAGTTATTCCAAGATTATTTGCTGAAATAACTTTCCTTTCTCCATTGAGTTTCTTTGGTTCCTTTGTTGAAAACGATATGATTAAATAAGAATAGGCCTTTTTGTTGGTGCGCTAATCTGTTACTTTGAGCTGTTCGCCTTTTTTAAATGCCAGTATCAGTTTAGTGAACTTTAATGATTACTCATGCTGTCAACTGCTATAAGTATTCCAAGATTGTTTTGTAAAGTGTGAGTCTTTTGAATGTCTACATTTATTTCAGAATGTTTTTATCAGTCACTCCAGAAACCTTGCAGAATTTATGAATGAGTTGTATATCAGCATGTGGGAAAATAACATGTTAACAATGTCTCAATTCATAAATATATATATATATATATATATATATACATATATATAAATATATATATATATATATCCCCATTTAGTGAGACAGTTTTTCATACTTGCCCTCTTTTAACTTGTGTTATAATAAATTTCATGTAACTGTCTTAAATCATTCATTTCTTCCTATTTTGTCTTTTATGGATACTGTAATTATTTCAAAGACCATATATTAACTGTAACTACTAGATCATGTTTGGGTCATATTCTGAGGTCTGTTGTTTTCTTTCTCAGCCATTCATACATTGTTTTTTCTTGGTGTGTAAAGTAACTTTATGGTAAAGCATTTCATATATGAAACAAATACAGAGGCTCCAGATGGTTCTTTGATTTTCAAGGGTTTGTCTTTGTAGGATGGAGAACTGATTTTCATTCAATCATGGATGCTAGTCTACCTTAGTACTCACTTTAGTAGCTTCCTCTCTGTCTTGTTTGCCTGTGTTCCTCAGTGTGGTCATTGCAGTCTGTTGATTACGAACTGCCTCTCTGTCTTACGAACTTGAGAGAGACTGTGAAAGATACATTTGTGCCTTTAAAGATTCCTTACCCTGCTTTCCAGCTTCTCATTCCGCTCAGTCCAGAATTTAGCAAATGTTTTGAGGGAGAAACTGACCTTGTGCTTCAGGCCAGCCCCCCGGCCACATTTTCTAAGTCTGCAATATCAATGGGCTGTCAACCCTGCTTTTAAAAAAATTTTGATAAGTACATAATAACTGTCTGTGTTTATGAGGTATCCGGTATTCATACACGTGTACAGAGTGGATGGGCTACCTAGATCAGTTGCACAAGAGAACTCTTGCTTTTGCCATCTTTTTGTGCTGCCCTACAATACAGACAAAAATCATTCATTCCTTTAAAATCTCTTAAGTTTTCTATTTTTTTATTCCAGGCCTTACTGATCTGTTAAATACTCAGTGATTTGTCTTTATTCTAGCAGTAGAATTGACTAATGGTGCACATTTCTCCCTCAGCCTCCCAAGCATTCTAGGAAGCTGAGGTAGAAAGATCACAAGTTCAAGTACAACCTGGCAATTTAGCGATTTACTGAGACCCTGTCTTAAAAAAAAATGGGAAGGGCTGGAGTTGTAGCTCAGTGCAAAAGCATATTGATGCATGCCTTTAATCCTACCTACTTAAGAGACTGAGGCAAGAGGATAACAAACACAAGGCCAACATGGGCAACTTAATCAGTCTGTCTCAAAAAAAAAAAATCAAAAAGGACTAGGGATGTAGCTCTGGCAGAGGAACAAGCACAAGGCCCTGTGTTCAATCCCTAGTGCCACCAAACAGATCTGATTATTCTTACCATTTTCTAGCTGGAGAGTGACCTGCCACAGTGTTATTATACCTCACTCAAAAGTGGAAGTTTTCAGCATACAAGTTTGGGCTCTAAGTGTTACTTAGAAGTTTTCTGTGTGCATAGGGACCTCCCCTTTCTATTTCTCCAAGAGGAGCTATTTAAAATTATAACTACCTTTAGAATATTTTTTCACCTTTTCCTTTCCTCTCTTTTGCAATGAGATATTTGAGGAAAACATGAATTGTTAAGGTAGGAAAGCCTATAAATTTTGGCTCCTGCATTTTCCTATATCCTTGCATCTAGATCATTTTTTAAAAAACTCCTATGTAAATAAAAAGATGTTACCTACTATTGAAGGATAAGTTCTTTGAATTCTTCATTCACATTGTCTACATCAGTGCTCCGTGAGTTTGTATCTTTTATATTCTTCCTTTCAGTAGTTTTTTCCACCTTTATTGGCATATAAAGAGATTCACATGTCTGCATTTTAAAATGGAAAGCAAGCTTGGATCTTGTATTTTCTTCTTTTTCCATTCATAGCAAATTTTGAAAAAAGTGGGTTTTACTCTTTACTTTTCCTTTTGTTACTAACTTCTGTTCTTAATGTTATATATTTATCTCACTGAAATTGTTCAACTGTCAAGATAGTACCTTTTATAATGAAAATCTGTATATGTCAGTCCTTATATTGATTTTTTCCTCACATTTGGTATTGTATTGTTGACCACAGTTATTTTTAAATATATTTGTCCGATTTTCAGCTGAATTCTTGAGTGCAGATATAAAATGAATGTCCAAAGCCTATTTGTAGTTAGAATTGGTATGGTGGTACATTTTCAAGTATCTAAAAACTGTGTCTGAAACTGAACTTACATGTACCCAAAGATCTCCTCAATTTCTTTCCTTAAAAAATGGTAGGATAAACTGCTAAATTCTCCATATACAGTGGTTCTTGACTGTTTTCCTCTCCTCTCATGGAAATTAACCAGTTTCCATGTTCATTCATTCAACCTCTTAACACCTTTTTTTTTAATTTCTTCTCTTATCTTTTGTTCCATGTTTGATTAACATGGAATACTCTGTGCAGACCTTTGGGTTAACAAATTGGGTTTTTTATGTATGAATTTCATAATTTTTTTGAAATGACTTTTCAGGATGGAAAATATTAATAGTATACTGGAATCCTATAGAACTACCTTGTTTTGTTTTTACAGACTGCTGATCTGTTATCTGTAAATGCTTGGATTTTATAGTAAGCAAGAAAACAACTTTTCTGGAGTCTCAGTAATATTGCTAATAATTGAAATGCAAAGCAAGCTTAATTTTAGTTCATGCAGTCAGAGCAAATAAACTTATTAAAGTATTCAATAAAATATAAGAAACATTAGTACATTCCTATACAGGTTATCACAGTTTATGTAGATACATCTATGTGCACCTGGTGCATAGCACTTAGCAAATCACACATTTTAAATAATTCTAATGTTATATACATGCAAGCAGTGAAATTGGATATTACATTTACTATAAGTATAAAGGGAGCTACAGAAAAAAGTGCATATCAGGATGAACCAATCAAAACTATCCATAAAGATTGTGTTTTAATTTTCATCACCAAAACATGAAAAATTATTTTAAAGCTACCTAAATATTTGTATTAGAAACCTGAAAACATTTTACTTGAACTCATGATATTTAAAAAAAAAATACCATTCTGAGATAGAAACTGTCACCATTACCTAATAATTTTTGGTACCATCAAAGGACATTACTGTGAGAATTTCATGACTGTAATTGCCCAAAAGCAAATAAAATCCTTTACTTGGGCAGGGCTTCTAAGAATCAGAATTTTTCAGAGCCCAGATGGGTATTTTGTCCTTTAGGAAAAATGATTGAATGGCCTACAGATCTTTTTTAGTTATATAGAATACAGTTTCCTGTGTTGTATGATGCTTCTCCATCAGCGTACTTTCCACTGCACAAAAGTATACTCTGGAGGCAGATGTGGAAACTTCTCAAACAATAGTAAGAACCCTCTTAAAAACAGTGGCCTTGATGCTGGACCTTTAGGTCATAATATAGGCAACTTAATTTGGTGCCTGTTAAAATTTTGGAAACTTTGCTGGGAGATGATATGTGACTACTTCTTATAAACTGGTACTTACAGTATTTAACTTTTCACTGGATTGATAAAATCTTTGGGAAACCAGGAATATATTATTCTTCACTTTCTTATTTTTTTTTTTTTGTCTTTTTCCTTTTTATCCGTACCGGGGATTGAACTCAACGACTGCCTGCTTGCAAGGCAGGCGCTTATGCTGCTGAGCTAAATCCCCAGCCCCTATTCTTCACTTTCTTCACATTTAATTTTTTATCAGATGTTATTTACTATTAATATATTTAATATAACTTTATATTTAATAGAAATATTTGACAAGCTGATTATGCATAGAAATACAGAATTATAATGAATTAAAGCTACTGTCTATTTTGCCTTTTTAAAATTAAAAGAACTCTTTCAGCTGTTATCAAGAAATACTTTGTTAAGAAAGTACTAGGATCTGCAATCTGCTCTGGGCTTTATATCATTAGTTATGGCAGTACCATATAACTTAGTGATCAGGACACTGACTGAAAGATAAATTGACCTGACTTTTTTTATATAGGCACTTAATACCAAAATTAATTAATTTAAACACTATTCAGTTCTGAAGTTTGAATTTTGATTTAGTTCATTTTAATTAAAGTATTGTGTATTTTTCTTAATCATATAGCATGGTATAAATTAGACTAATGTGATATTTTTGTGTTCAGTGCGACAATCAAAGAAGCTATTGACTATAATCCTGAAAAATACAGTAAAAATTGGTAAGAGAGAAGGGAAAGAACTGCTTTTGTATTTTGACGCATCACTAGAAATCACCAGTGTGGTTGAAAAAATTTTTGGTGCCAGTAAATACAGGGTAAGTTTTTAAACTAACATTGAATAAATATTTACTGTATACAATTTCAGGCTATAAATTTCATTGCTTTTTTCTTATTCTAGACTTTTTAAAATGACATGTAGATTTTAGTTCTTTAAATTTGATGGAAGAACTATCAACTAGTCAGCCATATCCTTTGAGACATCTTTTAGAAAGTATCTCAAGCTGGGGATTTAGCTCTCCAGCATAAGCGCCTGCAGAATTAGTAACTATTTATAACATCTGATGAATTCCTTCCATGTGTTTAAAAATTGAAATGAGACAAATACTGTTTTCAAAGTATTACGAAAAGTACACAGATATTACCCAGAAGTACAAAATTGGTGTAAGGAAAATGAAAGAAAGAAATTGAGTCAGGTTTGAAGGTAAAGCATTATTGTGGAGACAGAGTTCAAAACTCGCTTTTAAAGTAGAAGAATAGGATTTAGATAAGATGCTGTCTAGAATAATAGAAACCAGGTACTGTTTAACTGAGAATCTAAGGTGACAATACGTGTGATGTTTTGGAGGGAGATTCTGTTGACAGGTTTGGATGGCACAAAAGATTTTTTAAGAATAACAACTTGCATTTGAGAGGAAGCATCATACAGGAACCAAAATGATGTGCTCAGGAGACCGTTAGTAGGAAGTGTTAGTAGGAACTGATGTGTTCCAAGGAAGGGTATTTATTGCATTCAGAGTAATTATTTGATGTAATTTGGTAATTGTGTAAGAAAAAGAGTAGAAAATAATTATATTAAACAAGAAAATTTCATCATTCTGAATTAATTTTAGGAATTTTCCAGAAAACAAGGTGTTTCAGTCGCCAAAACATCTGTGCATATACTTTTTGATGCAAGTGGATCACAGGTATGTTTCTGACTTGCTTTTATTGTTGGACAAAGTTTAAAACTAAATAATAGCAGCACAGTAATAAAGTTGACATTGGAGGGTAAATGTCTAAAAATAAGTAGTATCAATGTAAATGGTATTCTAAGAAAACATGGTATTTTTAAAATTATTAATGATTATTTTAGTACAGAGAGTAGAGAATTATTAATAAATACCAATTTTAGTAACTTTGAAAATTAAAGGCATATGTCTTTCCATTAGTGGCAAAACTTGTTTGCAAAGTGAATTTTTTGTTGGGTCACATCATAAAAATAGATCAAAAAAGAGGTTGATATTTATAAATGTAGGTGAAAGGGAGCTGCATTAAGACAGCCAGTAGTTTTTGAGGACTTTCTATAGTTTGCACTTTTAAAAATAGTTGTTTCTGCATTCTCCAACAGATTCTTGTGCCAGAAAGTCAATTCTCAAATGTTGAAGAAGAACTCACTAATTTAAAAGAAAAATCTAACACCCAAAAGGAATTTGCTAACCCTTCAAAATCTATCAATAACCAAAGGGACAGAAAAAATTGTCAGCCAGAGGTAAATATGGTATCAAAATAGTTATTTATAATCATTGCTACATATAAGTGCAGGATAAAAATCTAGAACTTAAATGTTAATTGTCTTAATTCCTTTTAAAACACAGTAACCAGAAGGTTCTATTTTAACAGATTACATACATGTGTAGGGGTTCGGAATTAAGACAAGGTATACTATGTGCTTAGACATTCTAAGTTAAAGATAGACGAGCTACCATTTTTTCCATCTACCCTTTGTATTTTATCTTTGTTCTTTCTATAATGTATAATATAAATTTATTATGTTTAGAGACTGAATGTCCAAACTGCAACCCAAAACCCATTTATTTAGGAGAAAAATAGCAGTGAATTTAGTAGTTTTTCTTATTCCTTTTACTCTCCCTCAATTGAAAACTTCCTCTAGACCACATCTATTGGAATACCTTTCAGCCTTTTTTTTCCATCCTTGCTAGGACTTTTGACATTATTGAAGGTCTTTTCCTAAGGTCCTCTCCTTCAATAATTTTTTGGTTCCCTAATTTACTTCATACTTCTGCTGCTACATCAGATATACTTCTTTCTCCACTTTTGTTGAAGTTTTCTATGAGTTTTATAACAAGTCTTCTTGCTTTCTTCCATGTAGAAATTTTTCAATTGGCATGATTTGAGTTTAATTTACCATTACATTTATCATTTTAAGTGTACCAGTTTTGTTTTCAAAGTTCTATAGCCACATCTCCACTGTTTTCCAGTATTTTCTTTTGTGTCTCTCTAGCTCTTTTCCTGAAGTCTAACCCCAGACACTGTATTTTGTGCCTCAAATGAGCATTTCCTCTCATAACTTCAATAAAACTACCATTAATTTTTCTTACGATGTCATTGATACCAGCTTCTTGTTTTCCCATGTCTGGAAACGACGAATTGAAAACTGTCCTTTCATAATGTTTCTTGGATTCTTTCTTTCTTACTCCTTTTTCCATTATTCATCTCAGAACACGTAGGTTAATGCTGTAGTTTCTAAATCAGTCTTTAAAACTATTACTTCATTGTCTTAGCTACCTCCAGTGCGCTATTGATTTTTCTGATGTATCAGTATCCTGAGTGTTCTTTTCCTCACAAAGCTTTATGATCTCTGTGATTATCCCATTGACTCAATAATTTTTAACATAGTTTAAAATTTACTCATTCTGTTTATAATTTTAGCGTGAGTAGGAAGGTCATTTTATTATTTGTATGTTGTTCTTATTCTTGGCCCCAAACATTCACATTTTTAAAAATTTTTATTCATGTAACACCTACTTACATTTGCAAGTCTCAGATGCTAGTCCTTTTTTCATGCAGCTTTTCCTTATTATTTTGGCTTTTGCTGACTCTCACCCATAGGCAGCTATCAGTCTCACCATACAATTTGGCATGCTTTTTGTTACTCAGTGTTTTCTCCTTTAGTTTTGTGTATTTAATAAAATTTAAAAGGTCAGATTTCATTTCCTCTGTAGAATTAGATCATTAAAGCTAGCTTTGTTATCTCTGTATCAGAATCACCCTGAGTGCTTATATTAAAGATGATCTTATTAGACCCTTCTTCAAACCTATCAGATCACAAACTGTTGGAAAGGTCTTGACAGCAAAACTGGGAAAGCACACTATTAATAAATTCCTGCTGCATTTTCAATAAGGTTTAAATGAGACATTTATGAATAACTTTTCAGGTCCCATTAATCTTAAAACTATCCTCCTGTCCTCACCATCTGTCTCTCACATCCCACTACATAGCTATTTATAGTTTTTTAAAAAAGCTCTCCTGTGCCTCTACTGTATATAATAAGTCATCATCTACTTGTTTGTAGTTTTTGTGGCACTCTGAAACTCCTATACTTCGTAGGCCCTACTTTTATTTACTTACCTTGTTACTCATATCAGTTACTCTGGAAAATTATAAATCTTTATTAGTATAAGTAGCTGGATCTCTGCCTGTAACCTCTGTACTTCAAAGGCAGTTTAGTCTACACAGATCATTCAGTTTTCAAAGATGTGTGAATGTTTTCAAGAATGCTTAACATTAAGAAAGCATTCAAATAATGTAACACAACTATATATGCAAATATCCTCAAGTTAGAATAGGAAATTGCAAGACATTAGGTAGATTCCTATCAATAAAATAATTCATGCTTGTATATAAAATTACTGTTAGCTAGGCTTGGTGGTATACACCTATAATCACAGGACTTGGAAGCCTGAGGAAGATAGATCTGCAAATCTGAGGCCAGCATGGGCTACATAGTGAGTTCTAGGCCATCCTGGAATAGATTGTAAGACCCTATCTCAAAAAGCCAAAAATAAATTACTGAATTGTGTAAGTCTAGATATTCTGTAAGCACTCTTCAGAACAACAATAAAATTACTGTATTGCATTAAGCCTGGATAGTCTATAAATATTCTGTAAAACAATATTTCTTATTTTGGGGGGCTACTTATTTATTCAATGCCAAACAGGAGGATAAAACCCTTCAAATAGCCTAAAACATGGAAATTTCTGGGTATTGTGTAACTTGAAAAAAAATACATATACAGACAAGAGCGATAGATTAGATGTAGACAGATCTATATATGTATATATATAGAGAGAGAGCTGTATATCTTTTGCATGCAAAGCAATATTCTGAGTAAAATTGCAGTAAAATTAAAAATTAGTTTTAAAACACAATGTATATTTACTGTGGTTATTTCTCACAATTTAAGATAACTACTCCAAGCAAAAGAAAAATGTCGGAAGCATCAATGATTGTTCCTGGTGCAGATAGATACACCGTGAGAAGTCCAGTGCTTTTAGTCAACACATGTAAGTTTTATGGTCTTGAAAGATTGTTAACAAGTTTTATATTTTAAAGAAGGCATTTTTAATTCAGGAACAGGCTAGATATAACTTACTTACAGGTTAATTTAGAGGTACAATAATTGATAAACTATGAAGCACAAGTGTCTTTTTAAGAAGAAAGAGGAAATGAGTATTTAGTTTTCAAAACAGTAATATCCAGCATTACTGATTTTTAATAATTTAAGCAGCAAATAGGATTTAAAACATTGGAGTGATCAGAATGCTTGATCTTAATTCCTCACTCCCAATTTATACTTTGTTCAAATTATCCTCTAGCTAATGATAGAACTAATGTTTTTATAATATGATCAAGATCTATGTCTCATCGTATTTAAAGGATTAAATAAAAACTCAACAATAAATCTTTGTGAAAAATTTAATTCTGGGCACATTGAGTTAAATGAAAGGGAAAAATTCTGCTATATGCTAGTTGCTTTAATAAAATCTTTGTTTTTGTGACATTTTAAGGTTTACCTTCTATTCCAGAAGTCCAGTTACCTACTGGGAAATTGTCTGATATTTGACAGGTTCTTTGTATTTCATAAGACTACAGTTGAATACATGGTCCTTTCTGTCTCTTTTTTCTTTGTAAATGACTTGCACATTTATTTGTCATCTAGATCAAAAACCTTAGATGCATTCTAGAACCTGCCTACCTTTATCATCTGAAATGTATCTCAGTAATAGAAAATAAAAATTTAGTCATTTGCTATCATCCTTTTAGCAACACCACGAAGAAGAAAAATTAAGCCTCCACTACAAATGATGAGTCCTGCAGAAAAAGCTGATATTTATAAAACATCAGAAAATGCAGTGAGTAACAATGTATCATGTAAACCTAGACCATTGGAAGAGAAAAATAGAAGAGCTAATACAGGCAAGGTAACTATACTTTGATCTTTTTTTGTTTGTTTTGTTTTGTTTTTTGAGACAGTCTCACTATGAAGTTCGGGCTAGTGTTGAGTTTACTTTGTAGCCTAAGCTGCTGTCAAATTTGTGATAATCCTGCCTCAGTCTCCTGAGTGCTGGGATTACAGGTTTGTACCACACACCTGGCTAAGATAACTATACTTTGATACTATCTTAAAAATAGTTTTCCTGTCTTTATTTACAAAGCTTTATTTTCATTGCTTTTTTTGTTTCTCTTTTATTTCTTTTCCCTTTGAGGCTGAAGAGAAGGGAGGAAGATGCGGGGGGAAAGTGGAACTAAAATATATCATACATAGGTACAAATTACTTACAGTGAATGTGATCATTAAGTTGTACCAATAAACTTAATTATAAAAGAATAGTTTTCAAGTTATTATATATAAAACTTTTTTGAAAGTTTACAAAACTAAATATTTTTCCAGATACCATTTATTGTCCTTGAAAATAGACTCTTGTTAGCATATGACTTTACTATAATTACAATAAAATTTATGAACATCCATCACTAAAATGCCAGTTTTAACATTTGGTAGGAGAATGGACTTACTGTCATTCTTTAATTGTACAATTAAATATCTCCTATAACACTTTGGTAGGCACAGAATTGTGTGATTGAAATGCACTTTGTCTTATGTGCCTCAAAATCTAGTGTGGGATTAGACAGTAAGATAATTACACAATCATGTAAGCATTCTCAGGTGTGAATATAGCATGACTAAGAGCCCAGTAAAGAGCAAGTGCCTAACCGTACAGCTGGAGGGGAAGAAGAGAATCAGGAGAGAGGTCTTTTAAAGAGATGAGTGGAAGTTAATTTTTGAAATATCCATAAAGGCTAATAAAGTGGATTTTGAGAAAAGTTTTCATTCTAGATAATTGAGAGGACAGAAAAGGGATCAGAAAACAAAGGTAGTGAATTTCTAATGATCCATTTAAGTAGGAAGTAGAGACATACAAAGAATTATAATAGTAGTGAGAAGAAAAGGGGAAGCATAACTGTAAATATTAGTGTTGAGGGTTCATTTTAAATTTAAGACTGAATTTTATCATGTTAATTCATAAGTATGCAGTTTTCTCAAAACAGTATTGGGGTAAAGGTACACAAAGCAAATCCTATTGGTCTTTTAAAATTTAAATGGGTATGTGGAAGAAGATGAGGTTGAAGAATTGAAGATACTAGAAGAAATAATCAAGGTACTGGTCTTTATTGTTGTCCACATGAGTGTTTGTTAATAAAGGCACCATATTTAGTTGTGTAGCATGATCCTGAATATTGGAGTATGATGAGCATCTTAGTACTGTGTGTTGTCCATACAACCATTGTCATGGTAACAGCAAAAAAGCACACTGATGTATTTTTATAACTGCTTCTCTCCCGGATATAGAGAACCACTAGCTAGATGAAGTAGGGAAGATACTTAAGACAAGGTAAAATATTTTAGCCTAACAAGTGTATTTTGTGATAATGATAGCAGATCTTGTATTTGACCTGGATTAAATGTGAATCTGGCTATGGAAAGAGAGACGCTTGCTGTATGCAAGAAGTTACTTGGGCAAAGACCAATGATTGAAAAACCATACTTAATAATTTACAAGTATTCTGTGTATTTTAACTAAAGAGAAAGAGAGATACAGACCATGAAAGCAACAAGAGCTGTTCCATGGAACTTTTAGAAATGATCAATAACACAAAAATTGAATTACTAGTATAGCTATGGATGTGATTAAAAATTTGAAGGATCTTTTTCCTCTTTGGTGGAAGTTATGTTTTGGGGATAGGCAGTATTCTAAAAAGGACATAATGTTTATGAAATATGAATACTACCCAATTTTCATACCTAGGAAAACTTATTTTTCAAGCATTAAATCTTTTATAAGTTTGTATATAATGCCTTAATTAAAACTCATAAGCGTGTTTTCTGGGTTTTTATAGCATATCAAAACTGCTAAAGTTATAGAAAAGACACAAAATAAGGACATTGAATTCCAGAATCAAAATTTAAGTAAGTACATTTTGGGTTTAGTAGTTTTAAAATGTATAAAGTACTTCTCTCTGTACTTCCCTTCAGTCATACCAGCATTTAGTGATTTGAAAGTAAATATTTCATATGTTTGATTCTGGGCAGGGAATTTTTAAGGTTAGAAAGAAATACAGTGTAATCTCTTTCTAATGAATGCGAGTCTGAAGGGGTAAAATCAATAAATCTCTTCATCCCAATATGTAACTTTTATAGAATTCTACACTAAATCCCACTTAGCACTCTGTCAGCTGCATTAAAAATGATATTATTTTTATTTTATGTAGGTAAGCTCCAGGATTTTAGTTCTGATATACAAGGAGAGGGAGAAACAGATAAGCCTGTGTAAGTACAAGAGAATATATTATCATATATTATTTTTAGATGTATATAACAGATTTGAATGTACTATTAGTTATAGCATTAATCATTACTGATGTATTGTGATATGTGGGAAATAATTTATAGTTTTTTTTCATATTTGCCAGTTCTTTCCTAGTCGAGAGACTTTAAATCAGTGCAATTTTTAAAAAATAATGAAATATTATTGTGAAATCTTTAAATTCACGGTAGAATGTATAAAACAGGTAAGAAATACATAGGTAGAAATAAACATAGTGGTCATAATGGTACATTTTTCTAGTATTTTTAATCTGATCAGATGTATCATAGATTGTAATTTTAATCATGCCTTAAGGAAAATATTGCCAGAGTGCCATTTACAGGTTGTTTTCAATAAACATGGACTAAATGAAAAATCTAGATCATAAGCTATAAAGTATACAGTATATGCTGGTGCTTCATAATAAAATTAATTTCTTTTCTAGATTTTCTCATGTTTTAGACAATGACTGTGAAAACAAACTGCACTCCAAATGGGCTTGTTGGACACCTGTGTCAACTATTAAGCTGTGTAATAACCAGATAGCCAATACTTCATCAGGAGACACATTTAATCAAGGTGCAGCACATGTTTGCCTGTATGTAGTAGTATTTCAGGGAAATAATTTTCTCAAATATCTAATAAACATTTTTTTTTATTTTTACTAGTTTTAGATACTATACAACTGTGAATTTATGAGAACTAATTTCTCTTCTAGATATTTGCATCAATAAAAACCATACCAAACAACAGTCATCCTCTTCAATATCAGATCATGATTCTGAAGAAACAGGAAAAGGAAAATATAAGAAAGAAATAGTAGAGCATAGCAAAATAGATAAACCAGAAGTTGGCGAAGGAAACAGTCTACAACAAAATCATCCTAAATGTTCAGTACGGACTGAAAATACAGAACAGAGTGATTGGCATATTGAATCTGAAACTACTTTTAAGTCAGTTCTCTTAAATAAGACTATTGAAGAATCTCTAATCTATAGGAAGAAGTACGTATTATCAAAAGATGTGAATGCTGCTATTAGTAATAAAAGCCCTTCTAGAAAAAATATGAGAAGTCATAGAAAATCAGAGAAAGAAATGACTTCTGAGCCTGATTCCTCGGGTTCAAAACAAAAAATGGTGAGCTTTCAGTGTTTTTATTTCTGCCTATTTATAAGATGCCTACTAGATAACATAACAGTGAAAGAAAGTAATTGCTGCAAATTTGGCATGTTTAAAATCTTGTTCTTTAATTCAGTGCCTAGATGGTGAATGAATTCTTCCTTAAACTCCTCTTTCACCTCTCTGCAATCACAGTCCTAGTGGTATTGTCCATATGTTAGGCATCTAAATATATATAGAACAGATGAACTCAGCAGTTTCTCTTTCGTGGTATGTATGGTGGTGTTCCTCCCATTTGTTTTTATGCATGCATATTGAACTGCTTCTGTTTCTCCTAATTCTTACCTTCCTTTTGCATAAATGATTATTTTTATGTGATTTTTCTTCTGACTGTAACCCTCTACAGGGCAAAGACTGTTTTTATTCAACATTTGTTTTCCTGCATGTCCTAGCACAGCTTTAAATAAAGCATGTCAAACATTTCCTAAATGATTCATTAAACCAATACAAGGTTTTATGGGAACTTGAATGGTTGTTTTATACATTAATAGATTTGATTTGTTAATGTTTTGTTGAGAACTTTTACATCTGTAAACTTGTACACATATTGCATATCGATTTCTTTTTACTATGAGAGATAGTGGCCTATGCTTTTCTTTTTTTAAAATGTCTTTCATCTTAGCACTAGTATGATAATGACTTCATAGGACAAGTTAGGAAGTATTTCCTACGTTTCTTTTCTAGTAGACTGGAGAATTGATATTTCTTTCTCATTGATATAACGGTAAACCATGTGTACCTGGTATATCTTATTTTAGGTTATTGATTAAATTTCTTTAGTACATAGAGGCATATTTAGATGAGCAGATTTTCCTTGCATGGATTTTAGAAGACTGTATCTTTCAAGGGATTGGTACATTTAATCTAGGTTATCAAATTTGCAGACATGGAATTCACAGCATTTCTTTATTGTCCTTTTAAGGTACACACATTCTTTCATTACTGATAATACTAACTTCTCTTTCTCTGTTTTTCTTATGTAACTTGGCTAGAAGTTCATCAGTTTGTTATTATCAAAGAACTAGCTCTTGGTCCTTTTAATTTACACATCTAGTAACTTTAAAACATTCTATAGACTACTCTCCACAATTCTCTATGTTAAAAAACTATTTTGGGTGAGTTAAAGCTTTATAACACTCAAACGTACTAACTCCTAACCCCTTCTATTTCTTTTTTTCTTACCTTTTATAGTTAGTGTATGTTTGCAATCCATAATAGGTGCATTCATCATGGGAAATTGATATATACACATATTGCATACTGATTTCTTTTTACTTTTCCCTTTCTTTCCTAGAACTTATTTTATTTATGAATATTCTTCTTACTTTTGTTTTCCTTTGAAAGTTAACTGGTGGATTTTTAAAGTAACTTCTAATTTGTTTTAGAGAGAAAAATCAAAGGGGAGGATGTTTACTGATGCAGCAGAATCCTTGATAAACCAAATTAATAAGAGATACAAACCAAAAGATGACACAAAGCCTACAAGAACATTGAAGGAGTCTGTGATTGACAGGTATGTGCATAAATTTTAGACAAATATTTTTCTACAAGTGCAACTAATTTTATAGTTTTTAAAAGTAAGTTTCAAGTATACATTCACATAATGTTTCACTAACAACCTCATATTTCATGAATTTCATTAATTTCATGAGTTAACTTTATATAGAAAGGGAAATAAGTTTGAAATATGCCATCCTAGTGTCTGGTTAGATTTTATAAAGTATCAGAAACACAATATTGATATAGTATGCCATTATAGAAATAAATACAGACATCTTAGAATTATATTTATAGAATCTGTCAACAAGTAAAACTAATACATTTAAATATACTGCTTAATGGAATATGGTATTTAAACTGAAAGGAATTATTTTCATGTAGTAATTAATATATTTCTTTGCTGAAATCTTTCTGAAAGTTATTTTACTAACAAAAAAAAATCTACTCATTGACCATTAGGTTATTAATTCAAGTTTAAATTAACTCTGGACTTAATATAATGGATGATAAAAATGAGTTTCATAGCAGAACCATTCATTTTGAACTGTTTTTTAGTTTCTGCTACATTAATGATCTAACTTAGAATTAAGTCTTATAGTTACTATTTACTGAGAGCAGAACTACAAAGATATCACAATAAGGCTGTCTTATTTATAGAATGTTGGATGTAGATTTAGTAACTCAAATATTTTTCCATACAAAAAGGCTTCTATGAAAAATATGGTACTGATACCTCTTTTAAAATTGTCAAAATCTTTTTTTAGTGGTTTTTCAAACAAGTCTGACCAAGAGCACAGTAAGGTAGGTGTCAATTATTTAACTACCAAACTTATAATTAAATGTGATGGTTGACTATAAACACAAATATTAGTAACATAAAAATACGAATATGTTATTATATTTAAGGTTTTTAGACTATTGCTAATTGTGTATGGCAACTGACACGTTCAGTAGCAGGTACTCAAAACAGCTCCCTAACTTCCTGTTGTTTTCAAAGTAAATCCTTCTTTTACATAAGCCCAGGAGTTTTTGCTTTCTTTGTGCATTATTCATTACATCCTTACTGCCGTGCTTTTTGATAGTTAATCCCAGCTGTCCTGACAGTTATAACCTTCTGGAACCCCCAATGTTGCTAGAAACATTTATTGTTCATCAACGCTTGAAATAAGTTATCTTTATTACTTAAGTTAACTTTGTGTGTACACTTAATTTGCCAGATTTTGAATTTTACTCTCAGTAACTTTGTCCTGACTCTCTTTTTCTGGTGAGGCCAATTCCTATCATTTTATTTTCAATTCTAACTTACGATTCCTAGGTTGTTGTTATATAATTCCTTTATCCTACAGTATGCACCTGTGAAAGTCCATTGATCATATTCAAGACGAATGTGTTTTCTTTCTAAAGCACATAGCACCAATTATGTCTTTCCAGTGTTCAGAAACCATCTTTCATCCTGCTGTTGAATGAATTAAATGGAGACATAGAATGGCTCACTAGTGCTGTAAAAGATTGTATTATTTTTAAATATTAATTTTCTATACATGTTTTATTTGGTAGAAATAGGATAATGAGTTTCTGTGAGTGTCTTTCGTAAGTATTCATTTATTATCTTTTTCTCCCTTTGGAAAGAACTTTCGAACTGGGTAAACAGGCTGTCTCACCTTTCTTTGCATTTCTAAGATCTTAGTCCTCTCTACAAACCTAGCTTGGAGTCTGTCTGTCTTTATAAAAATGTTCCAAGGTGCCCTGACTTGAAAAAAAACAGGCAAGAATTCTGAAACTGTAATAATTTGTGTATTTTTAAATAGCCATTGTTGTATTTTTTCTTCTTAAATCTTTTACTGCAGTGTAATTGTTTGGAAGTATGTTTGTGCCTTTATTTGGATTTTAAAATTTTAAATTATTATTAGTACATTAACTGTGCAAGATAATGAGTTTTATTATGACATTTTCATGCATGGATACAATGTGCTTTAAATCATCTGTCTTGCCTTTTCTCTATATCTCTCCCCTCTATCCCTGACCCCAATCCCAAATAGTGCCCCTTTTACTTTCATAGCAGATTGATAGAACTAGAGATCATCATGTTAAACAAAATAAGCCAGACTTAGACAAGTGTGGCATGGGTTTTTTGGTATTTTAACACATTTACTCACCTATATAGACTCTGTAATATTTTTATTTACATTTGGATCTTTTGTTTAATGTCTTTTCTCCTGTTTAATGTCTTTTCTTACCTAGTATGTACTATATATAGATGATGAGTGAACATCTGTATCTGAACAATGAAAAATAATATTGGAAAGGGTAAGTGTCTCAGTCACTTTCTTGTCGCTGAGACACAGTCCTTGATACCCACAAGTTAAAGGAGGAGTTTATTTTGGCTGATATTTCAGTCTGTAGTTGACAGACTCTAAGGAAAGACAGCTTGACAAAGAGCATGGCAGAAGGCTGGCTGCCATCTCATAGCCAGGAAGAAGAGTGAAGGGAGGAGTCAGGGGAAGGAGATACCCTGAGGGTCCTGCTGTTGGTGACCTGCCTCTTCCATCCAGACAGCTGCCTCCTCAGGGCAAATCATCTGTAAGCCCCTATAATCCAGTTACCTCCAAAAGCTCCACCTACACACACCAGCCTGCTGGGGGACATCTAGATATAAACCGTGAAGAAGATAAGTAAGAGATCAGAGGATCACTGTATTATTGGAGCATATACTTTTTATAACAGTGTAAAAAAGTATATAAAATTGTCAGTATTTCAAATTGAGGCATTATTAGATGAATATTTTCATTTTTAATGTTTGTAACTTACTAGACATGCATCTTTTTATTTTTGACTAATAATTTAGTGATACGTTATCTAATTGAAGTTAATATATTAAATAAAATTATTAGTATTAATTATTTTATTTCCTACCTTATTATTTTATGGTCTGGGTAATATAATTTGAGTTGTAGGCTATATTAATAATATTGCAGATAGCATTAGAAATACCATCTGATATCTTTCTAACTCTTTCATACAGAATTTTAATCTCTTAAAATTTTCTATTATGTGTATAAAGCAAATCAATCTGAACCAAAATAGAAATGTATTTATTTTCTGATTCTAGAATCATTCAAATTTAATTTACAGAATACTAGTGAGATGATCATTTATATACATCAGTAAATTTTAAAGGCACAATAATTTTCCATTAGATTTATAATATTTTCTGTCTTAGTACATGTTTTTAAATCTTTAGTGCTTTTAAATCGTGGATGTTGGATATTTTCACTGTATATTTAAGGGATATATAAGATGATTTTATATAACAAAAGTTTACCCAGTCAAGTAAATTAACATTTCCATTGTTTCACAGAGCTTCCCATTCTGTGTATGTTACAGAAACACCTACAATCTACTGTTGGAAAATATCCTCAATACAATATATTTTATTAGCCATATTATTCATGTTCTATGTAAATCTCTAGGCAAAATTTATTCGTCTTACATATTTGTGAGTTTTGTATTATTTGACCAGCCTCTCCATTTTCCTTCCCTTTACTCCACCGTTAGAATCACCATTCAGTTCTCTGGGAGCTCAGTATTTTATTGCTGTTTACATACAAAATCTGGCAATATTTTTCTTTTTTGCATCAAGCTTATTCATGTAGCATAATGTCCTCAAGGTTGATCCTTATAGTTGGATATGGCAGGATCTGTCTTTTTTTAGATTAAGTAGTATTTGCGTGTGTGTGTGTGCACGAGAGAGAGAGAGAGAGAGAGAGAGAGAGAGAGAGAGAGAGAGAGAGAGTGTGTGTGTATGCGTGCACGCATGCGCACATGCACACACGTGTATCACAGTTGCCTTTTATGTCTTGTGTATAGTGAGCAATGCTGCAATGGAGTGCATACATTTTTATTAAGTGCTTGAATTTCTTTTGAGTATATTTTTTATTCAATTACATTAAGGGAAATGTTTAAAATGCTGACCTTATATTAGTGGATGCACAGCTAAAAAATGTGTGAAAATTTAATTGCATATATGATTTGTTTACACAGACAGTAATGTCCAGGTTTAAAGCTAGGATGTAAATTCTTGTATTTAGGGAAAAGTTCAGAAAAAAAGCTACAGAAAACTGAAGACTACTTTGGTTAATGTTACTTCTGAATGCCCATTGTAAGTAATTCTTAAGGAAATGTTTAATTTTCTTCATATTTGAAGAAATTATATTTATTGTACAACACAGCTAATATTTGTCTTCATTTTCACAGGAATGATGTTTACAATTTTAATTTGAATGGAGCTGATGAGCCTATTATAAAACTTGGAGTAAGCTAGATACAAATAATTATGTTGTATAGTTATCCACTAAATATTTTAGATTTACTGTACAATTATCAGCATTTGTCTTTGATGCACATCTTATAGATACACTTCGAAGTTTTACAATACATAATAGTTTATTCGGATAACCAACCCAGATATATCTTTGCTTTGTTTTTGTAGTTTTGTTTTTAATCTTTAGGAATAATAGACACAAAGATCTGGAAGGTAGGAAAGACTTTAACTCTGTGAAGATTTAAAACAGATTTGCTTTGCTTTTAGTATATTGTGTTTTATTAGCTTTTAAACAAAAATATTACAGTAAAATTGATTCTGTTGCTGAATTTTATAATTCTGTGATATAAATAGGTTTTATGCTTATGCCCTAAATTTTTGTTTACCTTCTTTCAACACAAGAACTTTAAAAAAATGTTTATCCACCATATAGATCCAAGAATTTCAAGCAACAGCTAGAGAAACCTGCATGGATAATCCAGTGAAACTGTACGTGTTTTTTTATTAGATTAAAATGGAGCTTGATAAAAATCTCTGATAGTCTTTCTGAGAATTTTTAACATATGAGTGGATAAAAATACTACTGTCATAATTACTCCCATTGTGATTACTTCAGCATTCACTTTAAAATTTAATTTATAAATTCTTAGTATTTTGAATATTAATTACATTGATTCTAAAGACTTAGTAGTGCTTTATTAACTTCATTGTTTTCTAATTGAGCCAGGGAGAATAAGTGACCTGGCCAGAATTACATCACTTGTTAAGGCTGAAAACTCAAGTTCTAGTGCATACTGTCTTGATAGATATTTTAAAATTAATATATATTTTTACTTAAGGGCAGATTTAAGGAATCATGATAAACTTGAATCTTCTTTCGAAACAAAAGATAAAAGAGTAAGTTATAGTATCCTAACATGTTCTATTAAAAACATTTCTATTAGTATGTTTTTAATGATAAAGATTAAGATCTATAAAGCAAAAGTACTTTGATTTTTAATTTCTGTGAGATTATCTGTGTTTATACTATGTCTTATGGTCTTTGAGTTGTTTGTAATCATCTAGTAATAGAAAAATATACCAACTTTATTAAGTTATAGCGCCAATGAAGTAAATTTTTTTTAAGTTTTTATTAGCAACTCCTAAAAATAAATCTTGCTACCCTGATCTGTATTTCTGAGAAACTTCCTTGGATAAGTCCTTAATTCCTTATAGATTAGTATGTTTAAAAAATGAGAATTTAGTTTTCTTCACCAACTTGAGTTTATTGTTGTTGGCTTAACTTAACCTTGCATGATGTATAATAGACAAATTCCTTCATCTACTTCAAGGCTTTTTTTTCTTCATAGATTACAACAAATAGGAAAAAGCAAAATATCTTTAGTGATACCGACACAGAATATAAATGTGATGACAGCAAGACTGATATCAGCTGGCTAAGAGAACCAAAATCAAAACCACAGCTAGCAGACTATAGCAGAAATAAAAATGTGAAGAAACATAAAAGTAGGAGATCAAGTAAGAAATTGTCTTACACAGAAATGTTGCAAAGAATTTTGCTCCTTCATTTATAACTGTATTGGTTGCAAAGTACATTTTTGAATGTAGATTGTTTATAACATTTGCTTATGAATAGGACAAAACACTATGGTGGCTTATATTTTTGTTACATTGTTTTGGTAGTATGGTTATATTTTTCTAAGAGGGTCTTATAAGTATGATTTACTATTTTCCTTGAAACATGACAGTATTGTCATCACTTGTCTGCTTACAGCTGTTACTCAGTTATTTAGCAAATCAGTTATTGAAAATAGCATTTGCAAAGTATTTTACTAGAATATGCCTTCTATCTTCTCTTTGTGATAGTGAATCTTTTGAAGTAGTTCAATAAGAGTTTGAATAAAGATTTTGGCTGAATATAAGTAGCACTTTATAACTGAATGTCAGTGCTACTGTTTGCTAAAACAGACTGTATTCCATTTTTAAAACCATATGAGGTAACTATTCAGTTAAATTTAGATTAAAGAGAATCTGCTTCAAGGTTTCTCTGTGTGTATAGGATAGGGTGGGGATAGTATGGTTTAAGAAGTAAAAATAGTGAATTTTGCTCTGTGCTTATACACAAAGTTGAATCTTGAAAACGGGTGAGAATCCAGCTAGATGTGTAGGGGAAAATGCAGCAGGATTAGTGTATATAAAAGGGACAGAAGTAGCACTTAGCATAGTATGTTCAGATAATGCAAAATTGAGATAGTTGGAATTTAGATTTTATTTTGAGGAAAATATAAAAATTGAGTCTGGATCTGGTTATAGAACTTGGACTCTGAAACAGTATATTACAGTACAATGAGAAACACCACAGGATTCATGTGGCTTCAGGGAGCTTACAGTTTAGTGGGATGATGTGCAGATAAAAGACCTTTAAAACAAAGTAGAAGATTAAAAATCCCAATGAGATAGTAGAAGTTAAAGTACTATAATCAGTAAAATTTGAAACTTGTGTGTGAATTATTTTGAATATTTTGAATGGTTGGATAACACGTGAGTATGTATGAGCTGACTTACTAGTGGGACTAGAGGATCTCCCTTCCAAATAAGCTTTTCTTTCTTGGCTTGAATAATGGACTTTCTTAGCTTCAGAGAATATTTAGGAAGATAATATTATGCTTGAAAGCCAGGCATGGTGACCATACCCATAATTCTACCACTTACAAGGTTGAGGCAGGAAGATCCCTTGCAAGAGGCTCAGTTTAAGGCCAGCCTGAGCTACTTAGGGAGAGGCTCTCTGGGGACAAAATAAAAAGAAAGGAGACTAAAGCAACTATTAGTAATATGTGTATATCTTAGAAACACAGTGGTTTTTGAAAAATGCAGTAAATCATAGACTGTTAAGCTTAACACATTATAAAGCTCATTAAATTATTTAGGGATACTTACCTGTGAAGTAAAACCATTCAAAACAAGTCCATGAGAAGCAAATTACAGAATAATTGCTACCTTTTATCAAAGGCAGAGAATATAAGACAACATCCCTAATTAGATTTGACATTCATCATCTGGTTGTTAAATTGAGTGGTAGGATCTAGATGTTAACTTTATACCTTGTGTTACACATACACTTACCTGCTTAAAATATGTTTGACAATATAAAATTAAAGAGGAGAAGGGAAATTGACACTACATATCATAACAAATACTATTTAGTAAAAGTTACCTATACTTGAAAGTTAAGGTTTTAGATGAGTTTAAAGATGTTTTTTTTTTTCATCAGCAGTATAGTGCCACTAGGCTTCTAACTATAAAGTTCAAGAAAAAGGGTAACTTGCAAAGCAGGTTGTCATCCCAAAGGGCAAATTCTTCAGTGCAAGAACTTCAGAGAAATCAGAATTTGAGGGTATCCCCTGTATTCCTCTTTGAAGCCACACGGAGGGAGGGTGATTGAATGCCCACAGATACCTTTAAACAAATACATATTCTCATTGTTTATCTTGTGTTTTTATATGCAGAAATGTTCTAAGAAATGTAATGCTCACTATTATCTGTTTGAAAATTTTAACCTTTTTTGATTTTCAGGACCATCCTTGGATAAGGGTCCATCAAGATCTAAAATGGTAAACCAAGAATTTGTGTTCAAACATTCCTTTGAAGTTATTTCTCTTTGTCATATAAAATAGTTTGTAATCTCAGAATTTGGTTAGCAGTTACAAATTTTCCACATCCCTATGATTTTTCATAATTATACCTTTTCTCTTTCTGGTTCATTTTAAATCATATTGGCCTTACTTGGTATCTTGTTTTATTTTATGGTTATTGATATTTTTGTGTGTTACTTCAAAATTTTTTTTGTTTTACTTGAGTTAGGTAATACGTGTTAGGCCTCTTAGAGATTTAATTGTAAGTATTAAAAGGTGATAAAGAAGTTAATTAGAACAGGAAGGTAAATTGTTTAAAAATACTAATCAGTCATTTTGTTTATATTAGCTATTTTATGTATGTGTTGTCACTACCAGTTGTAAAGCAAATAACTTGAATTTCTTGTGTATCAAAAATCAATCTAATAATATTTAGAAATTTTTATCCTAAAGGCACCCAATCAAAATATCATCAAAAAGGTAGATGAGACAATCCCAGATGGCAGAACCAGACTCCCACGAAGAGCAACAAAAATTAAAAAAAATTATAAAGATCTGTCAAATTCAGAATCAGAGAGTGAACAAGAATCTTCACATTCATTTAAAGAGAAGTTTGTAGAAAAGGTAAGATGAATCAAATTCAGATCCGTAATTTCTAAAAGCCTCGTAAAATACAAAATTTGTTTTTTGTTAAAATTGATCCTGTCATCTTTTTGAGTTAACTTATGTGAGAAAACATTTTTTTTCAGAACAGAACAATTTAAGCAACATAGTGTTTCACCACAAGACAACCTGACATAACACTAGCTACCATAGTGTCTCTTTCCTTGAAATATTTGAGTATACCTTCATACACTATAGTATCGAACATAACAAGACAGTGTAAAACCATTCAAGAGAATGAAAGTATTACAGGGTATTCAGAACCAACTAACAGAAAATGAACAAAGGTTACTATATTTTCTCCTCTATAAAATATTTTGTTTATATTATTACATCTAATAAAATGCAATAAGGTACAACATGATAAAACCAATGGACATAGAAGAACAAAAGCTTGGTGGAACTTCAAAGCAAGATGATATTAAATCATCACTAGCTATTATAATGTCTTGTTTTCTTCAGAATAGCTGTTCGTACCAACACAGGCAATACAATCAAACAACCCACAATAAAATGATTCTAATTAATGAATGAAAACATTATAAGGCTTCAAAGCAATATAATGGAGAATCATGATTACCACATACTTACCATTTCTTACACTAGGGAAACTATTTGATATTGATACATGTGAGTTTGATTTATTTATGAGTATGGTCTCAAGCTGCGTCCATTTATAAATATCTCAATATGATCATTCTTTATAGCTGAGTAGTACTCCATTGTATAAAAATACCACAACTTTTTTATCCATTCCTCAGTTGATGGACACTTAGGTTGTTTTCAAGATCTGGCTATTACAAATTGTGCTGCTATAAACATGAGTGCACATATATCACTGTGGTATGAAGTCTTCAGTTCTTCTGGGATTATGCCTAGAAGCGGAAGAGCTGAAACAAATGGGACCTCCAATCCCAGCTTTCTGAGAAATGTCCAGACTGACCTCCACAATGGTTGCACCAGTCTACACTCCCACCAACAGAGCAGGAGAGTTCCTTTTTCCCTGAAGCCTCTCCAGCATTTGTTGTTGGTAGTTTTCTTGATCCTGGCCATTCTTTCTGGAGTGAGATGGAATCTCAATGTAGTTTTAATTTGCATTTCTCTAATGAGTAATGATGATGGACATTTTTCATGTATTTATTTGTCATTTGTATTTCTTCATCTGAGAATTGTGTATTCATCCCAGATGCCCATTTTTAGATTGGATCCTTGAATTTTGGGGGTCTGATTTTTTTAATTCTTTATACGTTTTAGATAGAAGACCTTTGTCTGAGGGACAGTTCACTAAGATTGTTTCTCGGTTTTTAGGTTTTATTTTCACTATGCTAGAGATTTCTTTTGATGTGCAGAAACTTTTTAATAAGACATGATCCCAGTTGTTGATTCTGGGAAGTATTTCCCGTACAGTATGATTCCTGTTCATGAACTGTCCACCTACCCCTATGTCCCCAAGGGTTTTACCCAACTTGTCTTCTAATAGATTCAGTGTTTCTGTTTTAATATTCAGATCTTTGATGCATTTAGATTTTAATTTAGTACATAGTGATAGGCATGGGTCTAGTCTTAATTTTTGGCATATGGAGAGCCAGTTTTTCCAACACCATTTATTAAAGAGACTGTCGTTCTTCCAGTGAACATGTTTGGCCCCTTTATCAAAGACAAGGTGGTTGAGTGTGTTTGTAGTTGTGGTTGTGTCTTCTAATCTATTCCATAAGGAATGAAAAAGGCGAAATCACTACAGATTCTGTAGAAATACAGAGATCATCAACACCTATTTCAAAAATCTCTACTCTCATAGGTGTGATAATACAGAAGAGATTGACAGATTTCTAAACATACGAAGTACCAAAGCTGGGTCAAGAAGATGTAAAAGTGCTGAATAACCCAATTTCCATTAATGAAATTGACAAGGTAATTAAGTCCTTACCTACAAAGAAGAGCCCAGGCCGAAACGGATTCACTGCAGAATTCTGCAAGAAGTACAAAGAAGACTTAATGCCGACACTCCTCAAACTCTTCAATGAAATTGAAAGGAAAGCAATCCTACCTAAGTCATTCCTGGAAGCAAATATTACTCTAGTGCCAAAACCTGAGAAAGACCCAACTGAAAAAGAGAACTACAGGCCAATCTCCTTAATGAACACAGATGCAAAAATTTTCAATAAAATATTGGCCAGTAGGATGAAGCAAATCATCAAGAAGATTATACACCATGACCAAGTAGGATTCATCCCAGGCATGCAGGGATGGTTCAGCATACATAAATAAAATGTAATCCACCATATCAACAAAGCCAAAAGTAAGAATCACATGACCATTTCTATAGATGCAGAAAAAGCTTTTGATAAGGTCCAACATTCATTCATGATAAGAACCTTACAGAAATTTGGAATAGATGGTCTTTACCTCAATATAATAAAGGCCATTTATGACAAACCAACAGCCAGTATTATGCTAAATGGACAAAAACTGAAGGCCTTTACTTTGAAATCAGGCACAAGACAAGGATGTCCTTTATCACCAGTACTGGAAATACTAGCCAGAGCAATTAGACAAGAGAGAGAAATAAAAAGGATAAAGATAGGAAAAGAAGAAGTTAAATTATAATTATTTGTGGATGACATGATACTCTACATAGAAGACCCCCAAAACTCCATTGAAAGATTCTTAGGTATAAGTAAATTCAGTAATGCAGCTGGATACAAACTCAACACCCAAAAATCAATAAAATTTCTATACGCTAACAACGAGATCACAAAGAAATAAGAGAAGCCACACCCTTCACACTAGCAACCAAAAAAATGAAATATTTAAGAACTATCCTCATGAAAGAAGTGAAAGATCTATATAGGGAAAATTATGATACACTGAAAAAAGAAATTGAAGAGGATCTCAAAAGGTGGAAAGACATCCCTTGCTCATAGAAGGAAGAATAAATATTGTGAAAATGGCCATTCTTCCAAAATTGTTATACAGATTCAATGCAATCCCAACAAAAATACCATCAACGTATCTCATAGATCTAGAGAAATCACTCCTAAACTTTATCTGGAACCAGAAGAGATCTAGAGTTGCAAAGACAATTCTATGCAGCAAAGGCAAGGCAGGAGGCATCGCAATCTCTGACTTGAAGTTATACTACAAAGCAACTGTAGTAAAATCAACATGGTACTGGAATAAAAACAGAGCCGAAGATCAATGGAATAGATTAGAGAAAACTTTTTCAAAATAATTTTAAAAATTGCTCTGCAGGCAATACAATATCAGATTTTGCAAGTTGGTAGTTACTGTTACAAAACAGATGTCTAGCTGTTTCTCTTGCTTGCAACCTTGTTATCTCTTTCCTAGAAGACTCGGGGGATGTCTTAAGTTACCTCCACGTGCTGTCACTTATCAGAGTCCAGTCTTTCCAAACCACATCTCACCTATGTCTATAAATACTCTAAAATAGGTTTATTTCCATTAAAACTAACTTCAGTATCTTTGAATTAGAGAAGTACTTTTATCTTTCCAAAATTATACTTCAGTGAAGTCCAGGATTTTGGAAAACTCTGGACTTTCCTCATAAATAGAAACAAAAATATTGATGTCTCAGGTATTTCCCCATATACTTCTCAACCTGTGCCTACTCCATGACTTGTTTTTTATCTCAAAGCAATACATGCATAGTTGAATTTACTTGTGTTTGATTTTTTTAAAGTAAAACTTTAAAAATATATAATGCTTACAATATGTACTCTTAAGCACTTTGTAGATTCATTTTCTTAAAATCTGACAAGTAATACAGGTAATTGGTGCTACTGTCATCCCATTTTGCAATTAGACATTGATGCTAAACAGAAGGAACTTGCCCAGGATCACTCAGCAAAAAAAGTGGTGGAGGGAGGATTTGAGTCTAAATAGTCTGGTGCTAAAGATAGGTATCTTCTGACTGGTACACTGCTGATTTTATGTCATTAAGCCCACATTTTCTCTTGCTTGCAACCTTGTTATTATCTCTTACCTAGAAGTCTTGGAGGATGTCGTAAATTACTCCATGTGCTGTCACTTATCAGAGTCAAATCTTTCCAAACCACATCTCATCTAGCTCTATAAATACTCTAAAACAGGTTTATTTCCAATATACCTATAACTGTAACAGTCCAGTACTATAAACACCCAAATAAAACCTGGGCTTCTCAACTCCCCTTGGTGTGATCAACAGTCTTACTTATTCCCATTATGTCTTTCTCTCATCATCTTGTTTCACAAACTTCAGTATTTTAAGTATTATTAAAATCTAGAAATCCTTTTTGGTTTTCTTAGGGACTGGGGATTTAGCTCAGCGGCATAAGCGCCTGCCTTGCAAGCAAGCTGTCGTGAGTTCGATCCCTGGTACTGACAAAAACGAAAAAGACAAAAAAAAAAAAAATCTAGAAACCTTTTTTTGGTTTTCCTAAACTGGATATAATCTTCTTTGAACTCTGAAAGCATTTTATTTGTGTCTGTTACAATATGTGTCTTGTTTTCCCGTGAATGTGTCTTATGCTGTCTAGTATAACAAAGTCTTTTTTCTAGGGTCTGGGGTATTTAAGTGTCTACTTGTACTCTAGTAATATAAAATACTTAGTAAATATTTCAAATTAATTTGCTTTGTATACTCCAATATATTTGTATTCAAGTATAATTTGTCAATATGTTTAGGAGGAGAATATCCATTCCAGAAACAAAAACATGAAACTGCCAAAGAAACAACAGAAAATCATCCTGGCTGAAACACAAAAAGAACTACCAAAAAACCAGAAAACTCCATCTCTACTAAAAGATCCTATAAGAGATAATAACCTTGACTTATCTCCTATATCTCTAGCTGGGAGTCCATCATCTATAGAAATAATGAGATGTCAGTAACATTTATTTTTTCTTATTTATTACTTGAATAATCAGTTTTCTTCTTTCATTCTAATAATCTTAAAATGAAATTTCAAGATAAATTTGGAGGAATGTATTTAAGATTATGGTTTGTTAAAACTTCATTTTTAAACTAGCCCATACTAGTTGTTTGGTTATTGCTAACTTGGAAATAATATTACTAAAATAACTGAATTTTTTGCACTAGTAAGTTAAAGATCAAATACTTCATTATGGAAGCTGATATATATTTCCAAGTTACAAACTCAAGTAAGAATTAAATTTAATACTTTTAGATGAAAATGTATTTGGAATTGTAAGGATTTCTGGTTTTTATCTTCTTATAATTCAACAAGAATCCAGTAGATACCACGATTGTTCTGTAGACTGAGTCATTAAGAAGAGGTTTGCATTTATTTAAAAATAAATGGTACATAAAACTCATATTTTTGGAGCTTAGGCATATGTGTGTTTTTCTATATATGTACTGTAAGTTTATACTTTTTATATAACTAAATTCCATGTAGAGGTATTTTAAAACATTGCTAAATGGTAAATAATTTCAGTTAAGATTCAGAACTTAAATCATTTAATGTGATTATGCTTCTCCTAAAGCAGCTGTTGTGTTCTTCTATTTTCATAATGCTCAGAAACTGTCCCTTCAGATAAGCTTATACTGAAAGACATGTGTATGTACCCTGACTTGGTCTGACCACTCTTTGGGAACGCATTTATACTAGGACTTACCTCAGCAGTGAATTTCCTCTTTTTTATATATTTTGAAAGTTTTTAAATTTTAAATTCAGCCATTATTTTTCGGAGTCTTATAAAACATTTTAACCAAATGTTGTCTTTATGAAAAGTTTATCTTTTTAAATAAAATTGAGATTTGAGAATTTGTAAGTCGTTATTTTTTTGGAATTTAATGATGGAATTTTTAAAGTGAGCATCATTGATGATATGTACCATGTATTTTGTTTGTATTTTGTGGGGCATTGTAGGTGTGGACAAAATAACAGAAAATGATTCTACTCAGGATTATGACTGTATAACAAAATCTCTCTCACCTTATCCAAAAACTTTATCACCTGGATCTTTAAACAGTAACAACAGAGTTGGAAGTCCAGTAAACTCACCGAAAAATAATGGAATAAACATACTATGTGCAAGTGTAAGTTGCTCACCAATTCCACCAGCTCTCCTTTTGGTAAGAATGTGTATTCATTTTTATTAGATATATCTGAAAGTGGTAAATCCTTTTCCTATAATCTTAATTAAATATGCATTGCTTGTGTTCATAAGGTTTTGAATTTGGTATAGGTCTGGAAGAAGATGAATGTACCAACAAGTAAGATCAGGTACCCAGCCTCAAGAACCTAACACACTCACTGTAGCTCTCCAGGCAGAAGAATGGGGGCATGACAGCAGTAAAACTAAGTGACAGTAATGATCACCCCAAAGAGAGTGTTTGTTTATCTACATATTAAAGACTACATACATTTTATAAATTTGGATGGGCTCATTCTGGCAACATAAGCACTTCAGATTTCACTGTAATTCAAAGTCATGTATCCATATTTATACTTTCTAATCTACATGTCAGTTTTGTTTTCACTTTTTAGTTTATTTCCTACAAAGCTGTGCCAAAATCTTCCACAAAGGAAATTAACATTTCTCATTAAAAATCCTAAATATCTCATAATTTTCTTTTCATAGTATTAAACCAAAATCACTTTTTTCTTTTATGAAAACATTTAATAACCAGATAATAAAAGAATTAACACTAATTATTACACTTTTATTATCTTCAAAATGCCCTTACAAAAAAGAAACATAAAAACGGAAGCTTTCTTTTCAGTGAACTAAAATAAACTGATAGTATAAATAAAACCAGTTAGCATATATATTGAATTAATTTATTTATTTTTTGAACCGGGATTGAACTCATGACCTCGTGCTTGCCAGACAGGCACTTGCCGCTGAGATAGGTCCCTAGCCCTATTGAAATATTTTTAGAACAATAGAATTTATACTGTGTGGATGCATTTGAACTCCTCTCTTCCTGTTTACCTCTTTTCTTTTGCTTTGTGTATATGCATGTGTGTGTATGTATATATGTGTGTAGTGTTTCTAATATAAGACAAACCATGTGATATTTGACTGTGTGTCTGATTATTTGACTTAGCATTTTATTCTCAAATTGTATCCATTTCCCTATGTATGCCTCAAGTTTTTCTGTATGGTGGCATAGTACTTCGTGTATAAATACATTTTCCTTAACCATTTATCAGTTGATGATTGTATCACTATTTCCAATATTTAGCTGTTATAAATTATGCTGCTGTGAACATGGATATGCATGTATACCTGCAAAATGATGATTTTAACGAAGTTGGGGAAATACCTAGAAGTGGGGGAAGCAGGGTGAAATGAAATTTCTATTTTTAGTCTTTTGAAGAACCTATGCACTGATTACCATGGTGGTTGTATTCATTTGCATTCCTACCAGCAGTGTAGTAGAGTTCCTCCACACACCCATCCTCACCTGTATTGAATGTTACGTTTTTTGATGACAGACATTCTTTCCTGGATAACAGGGTATCTCAATGTACTTTCTAATTTGCATTTCTCTGATGGTCAGTGATGATGAGCATTTTTTCAGGTGTTTATTGGCCATTTGAACTACTTCTATGAACTATCTATTTGATGGCCCATTTTTTGATTAAGTTTTATTTAGAGGGGAGATCTAATTTTTTTGAGTTCTTTATGTATTCTTTGTGTTAGACCTTTGTTTAAGGGATAGCTGGCCCCCAAAAAACCTTTCCCATTGTGTGGATTTTCACTTCACTCTCTTGGTTGTTACTTCTGCTGCGCAGCAGCTTCCTGATTTAATATGGTTCCATTTGTTGGTTTTCACTATTATTTCTTGTGCCATTGGGGTTCTGTTCATAAAGTCTTTGTGTATGTCTTCAAGAGTTGCTCCTGTTGTGTCTTCAGTAGATTTTTCTGTTTTAACATTTAGATCTTTGATTAATTTTGATTGTAGTTTAGTACAGGGTGAGATATATGATTCTAGACTCTATCCTTCTACGTGTAGATAGCCAATTTTCCCTGCACCATTTATTAAAGAGGTGATCTTTCTTCCAGTGAATGTTTTTGGCCTCTTCTTCAGAGAGCAAATAACTGCTCCATTGATCCACATTTCTGCTTCAGTGATACACACTTCTGTTTTTCTGCCAGTACCATGTTGTTTTAACATCACTGTAGTTTTATAAAATGAGTTCAGGTCTGGGTCTGCTATCTGCTTTGCTTTTGTTACCCAGAATTGCATTTGTTATTCAGGATCTCTTCTGATTCCATATACATTTTAGAAGTGTTTTCTCTAACTCTATGAAAAATAATACTGGTTGTATGATTGGGGTTGCATTAAATATATATATACTGATTTTGGAAGTATATCCATTTTGACTATAGTGGTTCTGTGTAACCATGGACAGGAGATATTTTTCCATTTTTTGGTGTCCTCAATGTTCTTTTTCAGTCTAATCTGATTTTCATTGTCGACATCTGTCACTTCCTTAGATTGATACCTAATATTGTTATGATATTTTGAATGATATTATTTTTCTGAATTCTATTTCAGTGAGTTCATCATTAATGTGTAGGAATGCTACTGAATTTTTTTGTGTGTTTATTTTATATCCTGCTGCACTGCTGAGTTTTATTATTTATTAGAATCTTTTGATGGAGGTTTTCGGGTTTTTAAAAGGATCATATCCTGCAAATAGTTGTATTTTTACTTTGACCTTTCCTGTATATATTTCTTGCATGTCTTTCTCTTGCTTGATTGTTCTGGCTAATGTTTCAAAGGTTATATTGCACAGCATTTCTGATAATGGAAACTTTGTCTTGTTCCTGGTTTTCGAGGAAAAGCTTTCAGCTTTTCCCCATTTTAATATGATATTGGCAAGAGATTGGTCATAAATGGCTTTATTTTGTTAAGATAAGGATCTTGTATACCCATTTTCTTTAGGGTTTTTGTCAGGAATGAACGTTGGAATTTTTCAAAGGCTTATTCTGCATCTGCATGGGATTTTTGTGCTTGTTTCTGTTTATGTGATGAGTTACATTTATTGATTTGCATGCGTTGAACCATCCTTGCATCCCTGAGGCATGTTGACCATGATGTATGAACTTTTTGATGATTTGTCACATTCTGTTTGCTATATTTTGTTAAGAATTTTTGTATCTGAGTTCATTAGAGACGTTGGCCTCTAGTTTTCTTTTTTGGTTGGATCCTTGCCTGGTGTGGGGTCTACGATAATGTTGGCTTCTGAGAATAATTTTGGAACTACTCCTTCCCTGAATTTCATTAAAAAGTTTGAGAAGTATTGATGTTAAATCTTCCCTGAAGTTCTTGTAGAATTTGTTTGTGAATCCGCCAGGTTCTGGGCCTTTCTTAGTTGCTAGAGTTTTTTATTATTATGATTATTATTAATGTTTCAGTTTTATTGCCTGTTACTTGATTGCTCAAGATTGTTAAGTCTTGATTCAGTTTTAGCAGTTGGTTTGTATCTAGGAATCTCTCCATTTTTTTTAGTTCTATTAATTTTCTGAATCTCAACAGTGTCCATAGTGATTTCACTTTTCTCACTTCTAATTGCATTGTCATTTTCTCCCTTTTTTTGTAAGATTTTTATCTAAAAATTTATCTGTTTTATTTATTCTTTCAAAGAACCAGCTCTCCAGTTCATTGATTCTTTGTTTTTCTAGTCTCCATCTCATTAATTTCTCCTCTGATCTTTTTAATTTTGTTCAAGCGCTGAGTTCAACCTTGAAATATGCAGCACTGTTGATTTGGGCTTGTTCTGTTTTTCTGATCTGGGCATTTACCATTATAAACTTTCCTTGTAGGTCTTTTTTCATTGTGTCTGGTATGTTGTGCTGGCATTATCATTTAGTTCTAGGAACTTACTGATTTCTTCCTTAATTTCCTGTGTGACTCATTTTATTAAGAGTACATTGTTTATTTTCCATATGTTTGCATAGTTCTTGTGGTTTCTTTTGCTGTTGATTTCTTTGCTAGTTCCTGTGATTTCTTTTGCTAGTGATATCCTTGCACTGTGATCTGAAAAGATGCATGGTAAAATTTTGATTATGTTGCATTTACCTACGCATGTTTTATTAACTAGTATGTGGAACATTTTGGAAAATGTACCATGTGCAGCCCAAAAGACTATGTATTTAGTCATTACATAGAGTACTCTATACATCTATTAAGTCTTATATACCTTTGCTTAAGTTTTGTTCAGTTGATCTTATTTGTGATGGTGCGATATTGATGTCCCCCCATTATACAGTAATCATGTTGATGTTTATCAAATCTTTTATGTCCATTGGAGTTTATGAAGTTGGTTGCACTGTGGTTTGGAGCATACACAGTTATAACTGTTACCTCTTCCTGTTGAATTGTCCTGTTAACCAGTATGCAGTGATCTTTTTGCCAAAGCACTTTTTTAAAAAATATTTTTTCAGGAGGGTTTACTTGTAGGTATTTACAAAAATTACTGGTTTTTATCCAACAACCTTGCCTGAGTTATGTCAGAATTGTCTTCTCAGATTCTCTTATATTTTATAAAACAAACTATTATTCATGACAATGTAAAACTATTATTCGTGATAATATAAAACTATTATTCATGATAAAATTTTTGTATTTTCTGTTTCTATGTTTGTTTGACCTCTGGAATATAGAAGCTATAATAGGAGACATCTTTATTCCTTTATCTACAGTTCTTGATATATACTTGTCTTCAAATTTCTATTCTTCTGGTCCAAGGGCTTTTTAACAAGTCATACTTAGGTGCTGAATTTCAGCAGTAAATTAATTATATTCCCCAGTTTAAGTAATTTGGTATCATATTTCTGATTGTTATATTCAAGTATTTTTTCCTGACTTTAAATGCTGTGTCCTTTTGGTTTCTGTATGTCTTACCCATTTATAGCCCAGTCATACTCCAAGAAAAAATAAAACTGGTGCAAATAAACTAAATATAAATTCTGTGATATTTACACAAGAAACACAAAATTGTAACAGCTGTTCAGATATAAGCAGTTACAGTTCAGAAAAACAGTTTATGGAAACTGAATCTCCACATATCAGTGAAAATCATATAAAAAGCAAAAGAGAGGTAATATATGATACATTTTTCAAATTTTCCTTAAATTAAGATTCTTTTGAGAATCAAATTACTAGCCTCTAATTGTAATTACTAACATAGTATTTTTCAGTTATCAATTCAAATCTGTTTAAAATATATAGAATAGCTTGATTACTTTGATAGAAAAAGTTGAAACTTTAAAATGAGAATATTAATGTCTAACATATTTAACATTAAGCTGTCTAACCCTTCACTTATATATTTATAGTTAGAACTTTCTGGTTTCATGATTATATAGCATTTTGGTTTGTTGAGCTTTCTTATAACCATAAAAGTACATTGGTCCATCAATAAGAAATATTTTGCTAACTTGTATAATCTATAATTTTGTATATGGGAGAGGATTGCACTACATACTTAAGTTGATGAGTGAGTATATGCAGAGTAAGTAGAAAAATAACAGTACCCTACCACAGGGAAAAAACAACCCTATATATTCAAACAGTATAACATAAGGTTATATGTAAAAATGTGGTTTGAAAGAGTTTAAACTTTTTATGTGGCTATTTCTTAAATAAAACAACAAGAAAACAATAGAAAACACAGATCAAAACTGTTACTGTAGGATTGGTGTTAATGTAGAATCTAGGTTTATTCATGGGAGTGTTAATGATGAAGAAGCGGTAGAAGCAAAACAGTCTGAGAGAATTGACAGCATTTCAGATTTACTGGCTTTAGGCATGGGTGATCAAAGGTTTACCTGAGAGTACTGAAGTTTTTTCTAAATTCTAATATGTATTTTAGGAAAGCCATTCGCTGTCTCCGTTATCCATGTCTAGTGAAGGGAGAGAGAAAATGTGCTTTGGCATGACTCATGGCACTACTCAGATATCAGGTTTGTAACCAGCCTTACCTTTGTAAAAAAAAAAAAAAAGTAAAATACTACTTTGAAATTTTACTCAACTATATTTTTAAGTCAAACCATTAGCCAGAATTATGTCAAAATATAAATTAAGTAGAATTTAATGCATAGTTGCATAAAATAATGCAGATAATTAAATGAAACAGGCTTTTTTAAAAGCAAGAAAATACTAAGTGTGTTCATCAGAATTGTAATATTATTATTTCTTAACTGTTCCTAAGGTCTCACTCAGCGTCTTAGTTGCAAACGAATGTATATAGAAGATACTATGAGTAATTCCAATGAAGTGGAAATGGAAGAAATGAGGAGCATACACTTACTTCCCAAAAGGTTCTGTAAAGCTAAAGATGTTGATCATCACACCCACAAAAGTAAGCAGATCTAAAACCTGTGATAAAATGCAATTATGTGGGATGACTTCAGCCACAGACCAAGTTCTGTCATTCAGACAACTTTGATAAATTGAGAATGAATGAATCTTTATCACAAATCTCACTTTGTATGAATAATGTTGCAGTAAAGGTCTTACATACTCAAGGACCCTCATCATTTTATCACTTGTCAGTTTTACTATAGTTATGGAGTGTTGGTATTTGTGTGTCTAGAGGCCTATGTTAATAATAATGTGAAAGTAAGCTGAAAGCAATGTAAAAATAGCCCCTAAGTGGGCTATTTAAAAATTGCCATTTATGTTTTAATAACTATGTCAAAAAGATCTTTAATAATCAGAATAATTGCATTTTTAAATGAAAAAATAATGAGGCCTGCTTTTGATTTTAGAATAGTTGGGTCAGATATAGAATATAAAAGTAAGATTTTGTCCTTAGTCTAATGACAAGATTAAATTCATAGTGCATATTTTAACTTTATACATGATTGTTTTCATTTTTTAAAAGTGTTTGAAAGTTTATCTCCATTATCAACAAATGATTGCTTTATTCCTGAGAACTGGAAAAATCACCTTCCAGGTGTAGGCATGATTTGTGAGAAGCTTAATTCTCAGTTTAAAAGGAAGATTCATGTGAGTTTATAGTTCTTTATATTTTATACTCAGTGATATAATCTGATACACTTAATATTAAACTCTTGGCCTGTTGTACCCTTGGGCAATGAAAGCCTCTTGCATGGATACAACTTTTTGCATATGTGAAAAATTGGAATAATAATCAGATTTTAAAACCTCATAAGCTGTGTTTCTCTCACTTCTAAAATCTGTCCATTGTCCATATTTTTTGTTTTTCTGCTACTTCTCTTCTGTCCTGTTTTCCTTTTCAGTTTAACACTTTAGCTCTTGTATGAGTTTTCTTTGATATTTCTGAACAATCTTCTTTTCACGCCTTATCTTCTTGAGACATTTTTTCATCTCACGGAAGTGTCCATTAGTGAGATAGTATACCATAGTATGTTACATGCCTTAGTCACTTTCCTTCTTTGGACAAAATATCCCACCCCTATAACTTAGAGAAGGATGGGTTTATTTTGCCTCATAACTTGAGCAGGTTGCGTTTATGGTCAGCTGGCTCCAAAGCCGAAACAGCGTGATGGAAGGACCCAGTTTTAGAGAAAAACTTCCCCTCAACAGCTTCAGCCAGGTACCCTTTCAAGTCATGAGCCCAGTGACACTCATGTTAGCCAGGCCCCACTTCCTAACTACGCATTCAGCTGTACACACAGCATTGAGTTAGAATAGCGCCCCATGATCATACCACCTTCTAAAAGCTTGATCTCAAAATACATGTCTTTTGAGGGACATTATATATCTAAACAGTAACATTATACTTCTAGCTTTGTTTTACTGGCTTTGTACTCAGGCATTGCTAGTTTCTAAGGCTCCAATGAAATGATACACAATATGGGAAAATATCTTCTAAAACAAGTTTTAATTAATAATTTTTTTCCATCCTTTCCTTTGTCTATATCTGGAATAAACAGATCTTCAGTTCCACCTCTTGCTTGCCTTTTTCTGTTCAGGGGTTAAATATGAAATTATTTAACATTCTGTACATTTATTTTGTTTTCTTTGCCTGAGAGCAACCTAACCTCAACACTGAGGCCCTGATTTATATGTTCTCTGAGTAAATGTGAATAAATGTTGTAAAAAATGGTAAAAAAAAAATAATTGTGATTATGACTCAGGATGTGCTCTAGAGGAAAATTATAATCATTAGCATTTTTTTGTAAATGTAGAGTGATTGTGATGTCTCATTAACAACTTAGTCCTTAGCCAAAGCCTTACTGAAACAGACACTGTTTATAAAACTTTCCATTTAAATAATAGAGATTTTTTTTACTTTTCTAAGATTTTAGTCACTTAAATTTCATGGAAAAGGCTTTGCTGCTGACAGTCTTGGGTGTAGATTGTTTTGTAAAGGTATTTTAAGTAAAAATGCGTATTTTTTTTCAGGTCCGACGTAAAATGACAGATTATTTTACTAAGCAGTCTTGGAAAACAGTTAAACAGCATGTGAAAACAATGAACCATCAAATTCAGGAGTACAGGTCTGTAATGTATTTTGAAAACTTCTGAACGCTGTGTTTCATGCATTGTGAATACATGTTGTGGATATATCGTGAATGTTTGTTCTGCTATCCTTTTTTAAAGTAATTTTATTTTGTTTTTCAATAGGATTAAAAGACTTGATAAATTCCAGATGAACATCATGGAAGAGCTAGAGAATTTTGAAAAAGATTCACAATCTTTAGAAGATTTGGAGAAGGAATTTGTGGTTTGTGCTTTTAAATGATTTTAAACTCATAAAAAGCTATGGTTAGGTAAACTTGAACTTACTTTTTGTACTTTGAGAGAACAACTTAAAACATTTTTTCTAATTTAATTTTAGCTTAGATTGTAATTAATCGCTTTCATAAAAACATTTAAACTACCAACAAGTTTATAAGTACCTTTGATAATACAGGAGAAATTTTACTTTCATCTTCTAATATGAAATATTGTACAACATGTGGGCTATTGTAAGAATGTAGCTAAATCATTTAAATTTAGAATATTAGCAATATACTTATTCTGTGAGATTTTAATTGTTACGTATTAAAGTACAGCTACCTTTATATCTTAAAATTTAGGACTTTTGGGAGAAGATATATCAGCAGTTCAGAGAATATCAGAGAAGTGAGGAGCAGAGGTTAGTATACCATTCTTAGTGATGGAATGCATAAAATTATACCATATAGTCAATAGGTTTATGTTATTTGAAAAATTATATATAGGATAAGATTTTAATTATTCCTAATAAACACAAAGTTAACTCATCATTTTACTTGCTAGGCTTCATCTTCTGAAAACTTCATTGTGCAAAAATGTCTTCTATAAAACTGATTATGAAGAAACTGTTTTTACATCAGAGGTATAAATTTATATTTTGTATACCTAATCTCCTGATTTTGGTTACTCTAATCTTTTTGCATGAAAACTATAAATTTCATGGGGGAAATATGTTTACTTACATTCAGGTGGGTTCGATGAAAGAAAACCTAAAAATGCTGCAAGAAAGGCTTCTTATGGAAATGGTAAGTTATCTCTGCAAGTTTGCTTTTCAGATGGTATAATTATACTTTTATGTCTTTTAGTGGGAATTTCACAGGTTTTGTTTCCTTCTTTTTCTTCTCACAGTGGGAGAAAGTAGTTTTAGCTCAGTGACTTCAGCTATTTAAATAATGGGAACTTACAGTAAAACAATGGGGTTAATTTTAATGAATACCTCTTGAAGGGAAAAAAGAATATAAATTTGCAAATTGAAATATTAGGTAACGAAATGACTTCACACTGTTAATAAGCACTGGACTATGGCAACGCAGAACTAGCTACAAAGGCTGTCATTCGTGAAAAGATTATTGTCCACATGGACACAAAGGTTTTCATTTACTTGGACTTCAGGATAGAAATAGCTGATTTTGCAAAGGCCTGGTAGACTAGTAGCTGGCTTTTGGAGTACACCTGGCAAAGAACTAAAGACACTGCTTCAAGTGAACATGTTTATGTGTTTCCTCAGAGGTGGAAGATGTTTTAAGTGTATGTTAGCATTGATTTTTTCTGTACAAAGTATGTTAATGTACTTGTAAAGTTTTAACAAGATCATCATACTGAAATAGTAGGGAATCAAGAGATTGTGGCTGGCCTAGTATAGCTTGAAGCAGATAAGAATCGTTCTTATGTTGATCTTCATTGAAATTTGCTCCTGGGCTATTTTTATTCTATTCTTTTCCTCTAAAATTCAAATCGAAATTTCAAGAATGTGGAAATTTAAAAGACTGCAGATCTTCTCTCAGTTGATCACCTTGAATATTGCTGATCATAGAATTCTAGATACCTAGCTATACTGTAGACCCTGGGGACTGAGTGGAATGAGCACTGATACATAGGGTCTTTATAAAAGGAGTTATTTTGAAATGAATCTGTAATGGAAGATTAATTTATTTCTCTTTTATTTGATAGTGTAAAAGAAAAACTAAGTGTGATTTTTCCCCCCTTTGGTCATAGCAAGAAGAGGAACTTCTGAATGTACACAGAGGACTGATGTCATTATTCATGGCTCACGATAGAAATGATGAGTGAAATCTAGTTGTGATGCATTTTTCTAATTATTTTTGTGTTGAAATAAGGAAATGGGTGTACTCGTACAAAAAGAAAAATACATTTTACCTAGGCAAGTACTCCTAAATTTAGACATGTCTTCTTACAGATCAGATAGAACCACTGTAACAACATGACCACAAGCCCAAAAGGCTTTCACCTGCACAATACTGTTTTTTCTTTCACAGAGAAAACATTTTGGAAAACCAGGAAATGGAGTGGCTTTATTTTTATTGTAATACTTATATAAAATTTATTAAACTAGTTTTGCAATTAAAGTTAATCTAACATACTTAAAAATGTATATAACTTTGGATGAAATATTAAAATTTACTTAATAGTTCAGAATGTTTAAGTAATAAAAATGTAGCCACACTTAGAATGGGGAGGAAGTTGCTGATTTGAACTGTTTACCTGATTGGCATATCAATACTTTCAGCATACTTTTGTATGTAAATCATTCAGTTGTGGCCTCCAGTGTACTAGCAGATACTAAATGGCCTAACATTCTTAGTGTATTGCTTAAAGTATTTTAATTCAGTGTAGATGTTTTACTCATAAGCAAGCTGTTTGGCAAGTACATTTTAAGCTCCTAGTTTTCATTGTAATATTTTGCTGCATTATTCTATCAAGTGGCTGTTTGATTTGCTTTAACGAAGTTGAAATAAATGCTATTTCACTTGATTACATATTATGAAATTATTTTATATATTATGTTTCTATTTTATGAACACTGAATCAAATTATATCCTTCTCCAGCCAGACAGTACCAACCAGCTTTATTGTTCATTGTCTAAATAATAGCAGAATATTTGAATACCAGTATTTAAATATAATAGTGTAAAGTAGTTTTGTAATCAAAATAAGAGAAAAACACTTTTTATGTTTCAAAACAGTCACCTCATTCAATTACTAGTATCAGCTTAGTTTATTATATGGCAGTGGGGTTTCTATTTCAAGAGGGTGACAATTCTAATACAGTATTAGATACCACTCAAATTGCAATTTGTTTTGCCGTGTGAGTTTAGAACTAGCCCCATCATGCATGATCTTCCTGTTTAGCTCGTCTTACAAGGCCCTTAAATTATTAAATCATACTTATTCCCATACTATATTGTATATATAATCTATCTCAAGTTCATACTTCCTGCCTTTAGAACATTTTGCTGTAACTGTTATTACCAGCAGAACCTCAGACTCAGTCTATCACTCATTACCCAACCTGTTCACTTCCCAACTTGCTTTCTAGAATAGTCTTAAGGCATTTACTCCTCTTTTTCTATACTGGCATCCTTCGTAAGAGTCTTTTCTCATGTATTCGTCCTAGAGCCTAAGACCAAAATAATGCTCTTGCCTCTCTTCTCGTCTCAGTCTTATCTAATAATTCACAGCTCCTTGTTTTGTAAGCTGAACAACACTGAAGAAAATCATATAAAGTCTTACATTAGGAGCCACATAAGTCTGCGTGCTTAGTAGTCCTTACTCTTTCCCATATACATAGTTGGCTTTACCACATTTCCAGAGTATTTTTCCTTGATCCTTTACCTTGCAGCTGATCGTTTCTCCTCACAATTTTCTCATCTTTACCCTAAAATCTAATGTCTGCATCAATACCAACGTTCTCTGATTTCTCTTTTGTTTCAGTGGCATATTTGCTTCTTTAAGGACAGTCACCCTAGGAGTGCTCTGAATCCCATTATTATTGATTTTTCTTCTCCTGGTTTTTATAAAGTTCTTCCTTGACGTCCAGTTCTTCTCTGCTGCCCTTCCCATGAAATTCTTCACTCAGCTTTACAGATTTATTAGAATGATCATTTTAGTAGTTACTGTGTCAACTTAATCTTGTCCTATTTGCTCCTTAGAGCCCCTCAGTCCAAGTTCATGCCCCTAATTTATTGAAATAACTTATCAAAGCCACCATTTATGTTGCCAAATCTGATCTCTTACTTAGCCTCTCAGTGCTGTTTCACTAAAATCCTTTATTGACATGTATTATCTCTTACTCTTTCCTAACTTCCTTTTAAAAACCACTTTTTATGTGGGTCTTATTTCTAGTCTCTCACTTTTCTCAATCTATATTTTCTCCTTTGATCATTTTATCCAGCCTCATTTAATAGCTATCTCTAGTGTTGTTGATTCACAAAGGTATGAAAGTGCTGACCTCACTTTCAACATCAGAACATTGTATATAAGGCTTCATGGATTTCAACACTAATAAGATCTCAACACTCAAAATAAGTGCCTCTCTCCTCCTTAGATTTTCATTGTTGTTCCTTTCATTCCTTTTCCTCTTGTTCAGTGTGCTTTATGCTTCTAAGCTTGCTAAGCTATTTGGGTTCTGTGTAATTCATACTAAGTGGTTCACTTTAGGAGTCATACAATTTTGTCTTAAAGAGTTATTCTGTATATGTTTTAGGCTTTTAGGGGGAAATGAGAAATTCGAGGATATTTTGTAGGTATTTACAAAATCATTTCAGATATAGCCATTTTAAAGTATTATTCTTAACTCATTGGCCTTAAAATTGTTTTAAAAGGCTGTCTAGATTTGGTCTGTAAATTGCTGGTTGTAGACCCCAACTGTAGTGGGAGTTGATTTTTTGAGACAAGTTCTCACTGTCTCTCGCTGGCCTGGAACTTGTGGCAGTTCTCCTATCTTAGCCTCTTGAGTGCTGGAATTACAGGCATGCACCATGCCCAGCTGGAAAACTTTTAAAATTATAATTCTCTGATCTTTTTACTCAGTTCATTTTACTGTTTCATAGAAATAATGATTTAAACCAGTTTTTCATTTGTCAGAGGTATATGAGGTACTAAACAGTATAGCTGGAAATTCTTGACTTTTCTATTCCAGACATAACAAAATTAAATGGTCATTGTATCTCATGACCTACATATCTTACCTGGGTTGCAATTTTACACCTTATTGGTGTAGATTTACTTCATGTTCTTAACCAAATTGAGCTATAAGATGGTAACTATTCCAGAAGGACACATGGAAAAGGACATGAAAAAGAAGAAAAAGTTTATATTCCTGTAACTAGGTAGAAATGTAAACTCTACAGTAATCACTATAAGTGATATAAATGTCACCAAATCCTGACACCATAGACAGTCAACACCAACTTATAGGCCGGCATATCCTTTGGGAGCAGAGAGGGCTGTATTGTTTTACATATAGCACAGCCTTTTATTCCACATCAGATTTGCAATCTATAGTAACTGATTCTGCCAGCGTTAGCAAGGGGAGCTTTACTAGGCCCTGAGCTTAAGGCAGATTTTGAGTCATCCTGTCACCATCACTTATTAGCAGTTTTCTGTACATGAACACTTAACACCTAAGTCTGAGCTTCTTAGTCAAAAGTTGAAGTGTACATGAAAAAGACTACAAATAAACTAAAGTAGAACTTGGAGCAAAATATACCAAGAAATTAGTGTCAACACACATCATGGAGCATAAGATTACAGCAAAATGATGGTTTTGAGATTATGTATTATTCCATACCATGCAGCCTCATTATAACCAAGACTTTGGTTAGGTAGAAAGCAGTCTTCAGGGCATGCACCTGAATTTTAGTAATTATTAAGTGTGTGTATTTTTAAAAGTAATAGTAAACTGCATTGAGAAACTATTATGTACATATTAATATATAATAGCATATTGGCAACTCTTAAATACAAAATTTTAGCATGTTTGCCATACCCTTCATTTTCTCCCATTGCTTATCAAACAATGTAATTTTCAGAATTTCTCTCTTTACATCTTTAAGGCAACTTATAGTTGAGTTTTAGACTTCAAAAAGATATTACATAAGATAGAGTACTGCTTTGTATTCAAGGGAGTTAGTAGCTTTCCCATTGTTCATTCTACAATGTTTTGTCTGAATATGAACTAGTTGTAAATTCCTGATATAATCCAAAAACAGAGAGAGAAATAATAAGGTACAGTTTATATGAGTTAGCTTTTTGAAAACTTTTTTATATATTCAGGAATTATATGTTTGTTGGTTTGTTCATGTATCTTCTGAGGTGAAAACTTAGAAACTAAGTCTCTAAGAAATGGGTACTGGAATGTGCTGAAATAGTAGCTTAACAGTCATTTGGGATTTTTATTTCTGGGCTTGGTTACTGTTGGAGGACCATAGAGATATCTATATGTAAAAACTTGAGTTTTACCACCCCTGGTTATTACTATATAGACCTGTAGTTACCTTGTATTTCCACAAGATGGACCTCTTGATGTTAATGGGTTTTTGTGTTTTCTTTTGCTTTTTCAATTTCATTTGCTAAAACTTATTCACGTGATAAAATTTCAGCCCTTTTAAAATTTATAAATACACTTTTCACAAAGTCATATGATACACCATTCCTCCATTAGCTTAAAATTTAGTGGATATTTCTAGAAAAAATTTAATTCCCTTTTAGAAATATCATTTATAAAATCCTGTAGACTCCATAAAAGCAGAATGATTTTCATTATTTAAATACTGTTACTTTAACAATCATACTTTATTTTGTGAAAACAGGAGCAAATGCATAAAAATCTCATTACTGAGTACTACTAGGAATGGAAGAAGTCTGGTGATATGTAAATTGTTTCTGTTATTGAACAAGAAACAAAAGTAGCTTTTTTCATGTCTTTAAGATTTTTAGATATAAATTGTCTCCTTAAATTCATTCAATATATGAAAAATTTTATACGCATGTATCTCACCATTACAATATGATTTATGAATTGCATTTTCTGTTCCTCCAGCTAACATGACATGCAGTTAAGAAATGATGTCACATAAGAGCAAAGTAAATATACTTGATTCACATGTATCCCTTAATTTACAATACCTAATAAGAATTTGAATTATGGACATGTAATTTAGAATAATACTTTAGGTATGATTTCCAAAAATTTTAAGTAAAATGAAAATTAGAACCTTGTAGCCTGATGCAATCTAAACATGCTCTTTTCTATCCTGCAATTTACTGTAATTTTAATTTTATGATCTATTAGATATGTAACTTAGGCAAAAAATTTAAACACAGGTTCTGTCTACAAGGTAGTTGTCACTATAATTTGATCCTTTATCTTTTAAAGGCTAAGGTGGCTTCTAGAACAGTGGCACTTTTTCCCCTCATTTTGTAGTTAGTCTGTGACTATTACTGTGTGAGGGACGCTGAAATTTTAGTTTTATATAATTTGGGCTACAATTAATATTTTAAACTGAGCACAGTTATAACATGGAGCTAATATGTAGCTTAAAGTAACAAAAGTGTTTTTCTGATTGACTAGTCAGGACTAACAGCTTGTAAAGAAAACAGTATGTAATATATATACTTTAAATGCTTACAAAAGTCTTATAGATAGAAAAGATTTAGGTATTTCACTTGACATACAGAGAAACTGAGGCTCAGAAAAGTTACTCAAAGTTACACAGCAAGTAAGAGACAGAGCTGACATTTTGGTATCATAAAAGTAACAGTATGTTTGCAGTATCTTGGATTGATCACAGGTCTCTTTAGACAAACTGCTACCACAGTGTTGAGCAGTTTTTGTGGCTCTCATCTAGAAGCAGCCTTAAGCAGAAAGGGAAGATCATGGAAAGCAATGAGGTAGCATTTGTGGTTAAAAAAATTCTTAGAGGACCGGTGCTGCAGGTCTATCTGGCAGCCATATCAGAGGTTAGCATACCTCAGATGCAGTGCTGGAGAGAGATGATCATGGTATAGAGAAAATAAGCACTTTGCTGAGGAGTGCAGTGCCAGGATTTCAGCACAGGTTCTGCAAGCTCCTGCAGTCTTTCTCAAGCCACTGTTTCTTGCTTCACCAGTATACCAGGAAGAAGGGAGGGAAGGCTTACCTCTTTAAGGACACTTACTCAGTAGGGGAAAAAGAAGGTTTTGTTTAGCTTGCCTCTACCTTCATGCCAAGATTAATTTTCTTTTTATAATCTCGTCCATCTAAACCTTTGTCTACCAGGTTTTTAAATCATATTTTCAAATTTGGACCTAAAAATACTCTTAGGTAGGGCATAATTATTTTAGTAGAATTTTTCAATGTTATTGCTTATTTTTAGATTAAATGCAGTCTTCAGTACTCATCAATACATAAATTTAACTTGGAAAAGGTAATCTGATTTTCCAAAGCACAAACCATATATACTGGTGTGTTCACAAAATAGCATAAAATGTTGGCGTTCTCATTCATGTGTTTGGGTTCAGAAGTACTCAGAGATGACTTGTTTCATAGATCTCTAAGAGGTCACTCATCCCAACCCCAAGAAAATGTGAAGTCTGGGTTAATTTCCTGCAATAAGTAGTTATTTAATTAAAGAACAAAATTAACAGGGATCAAAATGTTTGAGCTGTATTTTTGTTAGACATTATATAAAAAACAAAAAGTATAATACAGTAAATCATTTTATATAACATGAACTTAAAGAATTTTCAAACTAATCATGATCAGAATAAAAATGTCTTTTCAACAAATACCGAATGACACTGGGTCACTTGTCCCTCCTGTCAGAGGCCTGGGAGTGGTGAGCCTGCACATGCACTGCACCCATCCTCATCACACTGCAGAACTGTAAAACAAGGTTGGAAGGCAAACAGCAGTTTTCTTCTGGTAGAGTTACTTTGGGCCTTACCAGCCCCAGTAGTTCACACTCCTCAGACGTCAAAGAAGGAAGTGTGTCCTCTGGTTACTCCTCGGTAGGTGAGTGTGTGAGTCTGCTCTTCTCACACAGCAGGCGGTCTTGAGCTGCACTTCAGGAAAGTTCCCTGATGAATGTTCAGAGTTGGTATCAAAAATTAACACAGATTCTTCTCAGAAGAAAATCTCTATGGCCTGTGGAATCTAGAAATTTTAGCAGAAACAAAGTTAGCCATTTTGAATAGTTAAAGCCTTCCACTAATATCTCGGAACTTTAAACGGTAAATACAGAGCTGCTCTGCTTTAAGTACAATAAGCAGAGCCTCAGTGGGCTCCTGACTTTCAGGCCTCTGTTGTACCCCAAAACACACATTCTGAATTATTAGTACCATCTAGAATTTTCACTTTGAAGTAACAATCTGAATTTCGTGGGAAGAACACAGAAAGGCCAGCTCTTTGCTGAGTCAGTAAATGGATTGATAAATTATTGGACATTATACAGATTGAGAATATTTTTGTAGAGTGCTGATATGTAGTGCTAAAATGTCTAAGAATTTAGAATTACTTCCTAATTTTTAGAGTTAGGACTCAGTTAAATTTTCTCATCTTAGTATTTTAGTAAAAGAAAAAGGTAATAGAGATTACCATCGACTATGTAGTAATTACATCCTATTTCTTTAAAACGAATGAACATTAAAAGTCATTGAATGTTAATATAATTTCTTAATTAGGACCCACTCAAAATAATCAAAACTAAGATGATACATTGTACTCTGGAATTACGATGGTCATGGGAGGAAACTTTTATTCCCCAAATTTTTTCTTGTCCTTTCTGCTTCTTCGTCACTTGATAGTCATCCTAAAACCACAGTATGAGCAGTACATGGCTTTTGTTCTGTAGACACATGAAGATTTATAGACCAAATGTTTTGGTGGCACTTAGAATTGAATTGAACACTTGCCTTTGAGCTACATTGTTAGCTTTTTAAATTTTGAGACCAAAGTCTCACTAGATGGTCCAAATTGGCCTCAGACTTTTCAGTCTTTCTTCATCAACTTCCTGATTTAAATGACAGTTGCAGTGATCACTTTATGACAAAACAGATCCATTAATCTGTTACGTATACAAGCCTTCCTTTCTCTTTGTGTGTGGGACTTGAGCATCCTTAGACAAAGGGAGAGGAGAAAAGTACCGTTGCATTTGAAGACTTGTTACATCATAGTCTTCCCTATTAGGACTAAAGGCATGTGAGAATTTAAGATAATTATTGCTAGTCATGGCCATGGAAAAAGATAGCACATGCATAGTGCAATGATAAAAATAAAACCCTTATCAGAAGACCCACTGTCATCCTTTACAGGCAGGAGCATGCACAAAGAATGTATTCATCCTGATAAAAAAGATCTTGATTATGGAAGAAACAGAAAATACGTTTCCAGTGGAACACTAAGCTCCATATAGATAGAAATCTCCTTTATCACTCCTGTATCATTCACAGTACCTTTGCAGGAGTGGGCACTCAGATACTTGCTGAGGAAATGAATGCTCTTTTAGCTTTAAGGAAACTGTGTTAAAGATGTGAATATAAAATTAAGGTACAAAATAAATGGGAAAGTAGAGAGTAATTTCATAACTGTGTATGTATAAATAGGCAAGTTCTCCACAATGAATGTCTGAAAAAGGAAATTAAATGTATAGAAAAATTATTTTCACTGAGTCTAATTTTCTAAACTAAGAAACCAGCAATACGTATGTACTTTCCTCCATGTCAGTTTTTATCAAGTTCTATAAAATACAGGAGCAGACAGCAGTGAAGTTCTTTGTTCACTGTACTTCTTTTCGAAAACTCCACATTCGTCTAGCTGAATATAAAGTTCTTGGTGTTGTGTGTTAAAAATACGCTAGGTATCATGACAAGAACAGAAAGCTCACCTTGTCAAGTGCTTGCTGGATGCATGTACTTCCATTTCATTACTTTTATATTCATTTAATTCTTTACGAATTGCTGCCTAAAATTAAAAACAGCACATTGAAAAGTTAACAGAGGAAATGAGTTTTCATGTTTATAGATTAACAGTCACTTTTAATAATTGCTGCTTCTGTTATTTTGTAATATGTAGGAAAGAAATACAGTGTCTTTTCTCACTAGTTGTAACAAATAAAAGTGTCTCCAGACAATGCCAAACCTCTGAGGACAAAACCTCCCTACTTGAAAATCACTGATCAACTCAGACCAGGAATTACCTTTGTGAAACCAGTATCTAGTCCAGGTGTAACCCTGCTGTTAAAGACCAGCCGCTCCCATTATGTCAGAAGAAACTCAGCAGGACACACGTTGCCTACATTCCGAGCTCCAGCAGCCCCAACCAGCACAGACAGTTCTGTACCTTATCTGCTGCCGACAGTCTTGTCCACGGTTTGTCTGCTCTCCTGTCGTAATCCTGCGCTTTTGCTACTTCCACATAATCACTGAAACGTATCAGAATTTTTCTGTCTCTTAATTCATCAACTGTGGGTCTCTGATTAAGCTGAAATAAAAGATCATTATAATTACGTGTCCCATGCCAAGATGCTTCTCTTGAAGTAACTCTGAGCAAATCCTTTCTATAAGCAACTCAAACTGAAATATAAGGTGCATATAAGCAACCTGTAATGTGCAAGGTTTAAATAATTTTCTTAGATCACAATCCCTTTTCTCCAGTACTTTTTACTAGTATACTCCCAATAGTATATAGCACAGTGTCAAGCAATGGCTGATGAATTAAATTTTATAGCAAGAATAGCTATTTTCAAGTACCATTAAATAAGCTGTTTTTAAAAGTACTGATAAAGTTATGCTAACAACTACTAGTAGTACTCCTATGTCAAACCACAGGTGGGAGAGGGAAACAGCAGAATACTTGAACTTAGAAGTGGTCAGGGTTTTAAAAGAATTGCTTCTAATAATGATCATAAATTTTAACTCTGAGTCACACAAATTATCCTGTGATATTAATAAATTTTGCTGCAGTGAAAGATCTTCAAGACATATTGAAGGTGACCAAAAACATTGAGTTTAAAAGTTAAAATTAAAACACTGGTAAGCCAGGTATGTGTTTATAAGACTGCACAAATTAAGCAAATGCCCAGTTGCCTCCACCTGAAATATGAGGAAATGTCTTCAGGATTCTGTTGCCTTTCCATACCATGCCGTGCTAGGAAAGGACTTCATCCACAGAGATGGTCAGACACTGGGAGCACTGCTTTCTTGGGAGTTGTGGGGAGTTAACTGATTATTGCTGAACAAATATTTTGATTTAACTGAGTCCATGTTAGGATATCATTCTTGGTCATAGAAGTAGTGTTGTAGATTTGCTACAGAAGCAAATTTTTTCTCTAGTCCACCTTTTTTACGTTCAGGAAATGTAATACCTTTCTTGTTAATCTTTGCTTGATTTCTCTTCTTTCTTCCTGTTCTGTCTGATCATTCCTTTCTGTTAAAAGATTAAAATACAAAGAGAAATCAGTTGAGATGTTCTTCACTTTAGCAAAGAGGTGTACTCAAGATCTATGTGGTAGCTGCAGGTAGGATATTAAGGACAGCTTATAAATCATACCTTTTCCCACATTTCAACCTCTGTTTTCTGTATTTTTCTAATCACTGCTCAATAGATCACAGTCTAATTGTTAAACAGAATTATCCTGGTCTGGTTCTCCTCTTACCGTCTCTATATTAGAAATAGCAACAGGTATCATCATGCTTAATTTCCAGGAATCACTTGTCTTTCTATATGACAGTCTGTCTCTCTATTCTACTCAAGTATCTGTGTGTATATTTACATTGAGGAACACAGATGGTATACAATATAACTAGTAGAATAAATATTTGAACACACTTGAACATAAATAGTACTGTCAGTGTTTGTTTCCTGTTTTTTTTTTTTCTATTTCATACTGTGTATACCTTTTAGGTAACCAACGTAAGGTACAGAGTACCCTCCTTCAAATTCTGAACAACATATGCTTGTCTGGAATTTATATCATCATAGTATATTTCAAATCTGAACATACCTACAAACCAACTGATTCTCCTTTGCTGAACCATGAACACTTCTAAATGAGAGTATCTTTGAAAGCCCTAAGTCTTTCACTGAAGTTGGTTTTGGTTGGTGCGTTGTGACTATTAACATCCAAGCTGTGCTTACACTTACACTTGGAAGCTAAAAATAGACCAGAGAGCTGAGTTATAGTGTACAGTGTATGCCTTGCCCTGAGGTACAAATAATGGCTCTACTATTTATGGTGCTGTGTTGCTAAATAAAGTTTCCGGCCTCTGATCTGAAAAGAATTACATTTTTAGGAAAAAGATCTCAACCATCAGCACTTGTAGAAACACTGCCAGGTTTTGAAGTTAACATAATTTCATATCTGCCTTTTATAAAAATAAGATACAACTCAAACATTCATTTGGAGAATTGAGTATATGGGTGTTTGTCAGCAATTATACTTTTCATTCATTCTCCTTGCTTGGATTAGGGTATTTTAGAAAAGAAAATATCATTGTGTGTCTAGTTGTTTAGCCACATGAAACCAGAAGAATATGTAAGCTATAATGAAGTGGAAAGTACAAGTAGAAAAATGCCAAAACTCATATATAAAGCCATCTATGAAGGATTGAAATAATGAGAGTAATTCATCAGATTTCCTAAAAATAGTTCATGGAAAAATCCCAGGTGCAGGTTCCATATGGAAATAAAAAAGCAAAATCAGATCGTGTGTGTGTGTGTGTGTTTGTGAAAACAATACTAAGGTCATACAAATGCAGCAGGGCCTTCAGAAAACAGATCTTTGAAAGTGCCTGTCAGTGAGTTTGCTTTTTTGTTTGAAGAGCTCTGCCAGACACTTGCTCTTAAGTCATTCCTGTTAACCTATGCCCACAGACCTCTCTAGAGCTACCCTCAGATGTTTGTAAATGTCTTATTCCCAAGACCAGAAAACCTTACACAAGACAAGGTTTCCATTATCAGGACTTCTGCATCCACATTTTCTGGAAGTAATTCCAGTAGCTTGGACAGATACACATGAGTCTTCTACAGATACTCAAAAATGGATTACTGTACCTGCTGTAGTGGTTAAGAGCACAGATGATGGAGTCAAGCAAACCTGGAATTGAACTTAGCTCTGTTCTCTGGCCAGTATTTATTTGTTGAAATGTCATGCTTCCTCTCAGTGCCCTAACTGCTTTATTAGTAAAATTTGCAAATTTGTTATGCATTAAATTAAATTAGGAAACATACAACCAAGCACTGAATACACTGCCTGGTACAGACAGACCCAATAAAGAATTTAGTTGTATCATCATCATACAGAACAACCCAGCGTGGTTACATTCATGAATACACAGTAGAGTTCTGAGTGTTCCTCAATACAACTGCAATTAGGTATGAGTTCCCAACCTGAAGTAAACACAAAGTGGTCATATTCTTGGATTTTATTATATGAGCAAAATTCAGTGTAATGTAGCATACCAAGAGCTGTGAATGTGATATCCTATACTGGACCTTACATGGTTGCCCTATTATCTACACAAAAACCAGCAAATCAGAATACCTAAACCTAGTAGCAAAAGTTTCAGGTCCTCCCACTCAGGATACATGAGAATCCTTTGAGTGAAGGACAGATGTGGCTCGCTGGTGAAGGCACAGTGTTTACGGCAGGATTGCCATGGCCACCGCAGTGAGTCCATTTCCCTTTTGTGCTCTGAAGGTGAGTGCAGTCAGTTCCAGTTATCTAGTATGATGAAGCACAGTTATAATTTCACCACTTCAGTATTTACTTGTAAAGAGTAACACAGAAGCACTTGTGACTAAGAGGACCTGGATGTCCACATGGAAGAGAAGAGGCTACTATTGAAAGATGTTTCCCAAGTTAACAGCCCAGGTGTAGCAGTCTCTTTCTGTTGTGGGCAGTAGACTGTTGGCGTATGATATTTCTTGCCTTGAACTTGCCTTCAAGTCTAGACTACTACTTTTAATGGCATCTATGACTTAGAAACTTTATGATTAAGAGGCTAAGTTTTAAAAATCCAAATATTCAAAAAATCAACTGGAATAGCTTGATTTTTTTTTTCTGGTCTGCCTACATTGATAAGCACGTTATCAATGAAAAGTTCTTTGAATTCTCAGGATATAACATAGCAAATAGTCACTGTCTTAAGTTTAAAAATTAAAATTTTTAATCATGGCTATTTTCAACAATCTGTAAAGGAGGAAATTGTTTCTGGGAGTTAAGTCACTGAGGCCAAGATGAGGGGAATCAGTACCCCATGCTCCACCATGGTGGGCTTTCTGCTGCAGTTAGCCTTGTTAGCTTTATAAAAAAGATGTTCACAGGCAAAAACACATTCAGAGAATGTCTGCAATGCTCACAAAAACACTAAATCATGTTACATGATTTGTCCTTAGAAAGCACTTTTTTAAAAGTTGAAGTCTGTTGACCAGATATTTACCTGACAAATACCAGTTGTCAGTGACTAATAAAATTCTGCAAGACAGGTTATTCATAGACACCTATGTTTAGCATATGTTGTACTTATATACCTAAAGGGAAACTAAAGGCCAGTAGGAGAGAGGGCCTTTAAATCCCTGTAGTTACAAACTACAGGATAATTTTCCCTAGTGTCCCGGACCTTTTAAGCTGACCCTTTTATTCCTCCTAGGTGTGACAGCCATGGGACACGTCCTTACCTAGTAGGATTTATGACCTAACCTGTCATTTCTGATTAGGACTCCCACTCAGAACTGCCAGAAAAACTTGCTTGATACCCAACATGCATAAAAAGGCTATAGATTCACTTCATTTCCCTTAGGTCTGTGGACTAACCCTGAAGACAAATATCTCTTCAATTATCCTAGGGAGTGAGTGCTTCTCTTTATTGTAAAAGGTACTGTCTCTGGACACATCAACTTTCTTTAGAGGCTTGCTTTCAGAAGCTCCCGGCTGCTCATATTTAAGCAGCGCTCAGCCTGCAGATATGGGCTGGGTTACAAAAGCCTTTCAAGAGCCTGAGCACATATGTGAGGGAAAGCCCTGGAGGGACAGCCAGCTACTCACGTTTCAGGATGTTTCTCCTCTCCAGCTCCTCCACAGCAGGTCGTTGGCTCAGCCGTCTACGGAAAAACACCAGAATTACATTTTGCACCATGGTGGGTGCCTGTAAATTCCACCCAAGGACTGAAGGTGAGAGGTGGCTGGCACACCCCTAAAGATCGCCTCAAGAAGTAGGAGAGAAAGGGAACCTTGCGTGCCTCTTCCTGGCAAAATCAAGTCAGCCTCCCACGTGGGAGGGGAGGCTGCCCTGTCACGAAGCTGCTGCGGAAGTCTTTGCTCCAGCACTGAGAGTGCAGGTCTTCATTTTCCAGATCCGTTAGCCAAACCGCCCTGCTGTGTTCATCCAGGCAGTGTGTGAAAGCAGCACGGACTCACTCCGAAATCTCTTCCCTGCCCACCAGCTTAGGGAGGCGCAGGCAGCACCACCTGGCTTTAGGCTTCTGGCTCCAGAGACACCTGCACCTCTGCTTGCTGCCTCCTGTCTAGCTGAGGAGACACCAGCCCTGGAAGCCCGAGCTCTCTTTTCTCCTGTACTGAATGCCTCTGCCCAACCCAGCACAGGGGGAGTGTCTAAGGATGAGGCTTCCCGCCTCTTGTCAATGAGCTCACACTTACAGCGCTGAGTAGAAACCGGGAATCTCCTCTGACAGCACAGCTAAGGGAACTGAGTCCAATTTTACTTCCCTTCATGCTGTCAGCCTAGACCTGGTGTGTACCATGAAGACGAAATGTTTGTTTCTTAAATGGTCTCTTGCTAGGGGAATTGGGGGATACAGCTCCCCCAGACCCCAATTTTTCAGCCACACGAGAAACAAAGGATTTGTCAAAAAAAGGAAGCATAATTAGCCAAAATTAATGCCAGGCTCCATTTATTTTTGCAGCTAAGATAATGTCCTTGGGTTAGAGCCAGAAACCTTCCCACTTCCGTATCCTTCAGCCACTGCAGGGATTCAACAGGGCTGAGTATCTGAATACCCAGAGTGTGGGGCTATGGCATTTTGCCCCAGAGATACTGTTGCCTGTCTCCTCTTTATAATTACTCTCCCAGCACAAAGCTGCTGCTCCTCCCTCCACACTTGAACATAATACTTGCTGTGTGGCTCTCTGGGAGCCTCTGTGTGTCTTCTAGCTCTGGGCGTGGTTGCTTCCACATCTCTCCTTGAGGTTCCATAAGACCCAAACCTCCCCCCACCCTGCTGCTCCTGGCTGGGACTTGGGTGAGAGCCTTCCCCATCTGGCTGCACAAAGCCTGCAAAGCTAGTTCAATACTGCAGTGCTAATCATCCAAGCAGTCAGCAAATGGCTGTGGAACATTTGCTACATGCCAGGCACTGTCCCAAACCCTCAGGACATAGTGCTGAGCAAGGTTTCCCTGCAGTGGGAAGTTCACAGTTTAGATGAAAAGGCAGGCAGGCAGCAAGGGAACAGTGATTTTGAAGAGTGGCCCGTAAGGTGGAGGAAATACAATGGGAAGTGTGATGGCTGAATGTGTGGGCTGGAACAGGAGGGGGTCTGAGGAAGGTCCACTTCCACTGAGATCTGAATGAAGAGCCAGCCATGGGAAGATCCCACTGAAGACAAGCCTCTGCGATCCCCATACATACTGAGCTGGAGTGGGCACGTGGGAGGGGGGTGGATCAAGACAGGAATCCTAGAAAAGGAAGGCGAAGTTGTGTAGAATACAGGGGAGCAGTTACTTCTCCCACCCCATCTAGGAGGTGAGGCTCCCTCCTGGCCTGCTCCTGTGACAGGTGATCCCCAAGGCTGGTGCAGGGGATTCTGGGGCAGGGTGGCCGTGTGATAGGGCAGTACAAGGTGGGCTTTGGGAGTACATGAACAAACGTTTGAGGCCTATCCTTTGTTGGCTGTGTATCCTTGAATAAGTTACTTCTCTAAGCTCTTCCTTCCCCACAATGAGCACTAAATAGCTCTACATAGACCCGTGAGAATATGTACAAAGGTATTTTATAACATTGAGAATTTAATGACTTCTCATGAAATTTTGGGAATGTCTATAAGTAAAAGGCATTGGGTTTTTCCCAAAACCTTTCCAGACGTTAAGCTTTTTCTCAGATATAATTACAGTAATCAGTAATAAGTCAAGGAGCTGAGCTATGGCTCAGTGGTAGAGCACTTGGCTAGAATACTCAAGGCCCTGGAGTCTGTTTCCAGTGCCGGAAAAAGCCTAGCAGCTGTGTTTGCAGGGTTTTGTTCTCCAGATGGCCTCATTGCCCCTTCATGTGTGCATGCAGTGGGCCCACAGCATCGGCAACTGACCGGTCCTCATTACCTCCTGCAAGTCCATGTCCAGGCTAAGACCCTGCGGGGACTGCAAGGCTCAGCTTAGCAGCCCAGGCCCTGGCCTGTCACCTGTGTCCCAAGCAGCTGTCCCCCACCCCCCATAACTTGCAGCAGCCCCGCCTGGAATGTAATGTGGCACTTTGGTTGCACTTTTTGAATTTCACAGGATTGGTGTTAGCCAGTTTCATGGGCTTAAACTGAACCCCTATGACTCTGGGTTAGCCACAGACTGGCTTATCAAGTGGGTGATGGTAGGGCTCCCTTCCCCAGGGACTCTGCAATGAGAGATACCCAAAAGAGATTCTGTACAGGGCTGGATCTGTAATGAATGCAGATCAGTATAATCATCATTGCCATTATTAGGTTCAACACATTTGTGGAATTGTATGGAGGCATTTAAGAAATACCAGCATGTGCACTACCATTTCAAGTACCAAATCCTGGATAAGGAATGGTACTTGATGTCCAGAATTTAAACCTTGAGGGTCTCCCCTTTGCAGCCTGACACGGGCATCTGCTCTGCTTTCCAGTGTTGGAGCTGCTATGAAATGGGAGCAGTGAGGTTGCTGACTTTCTGCTATGTCTGAGTGACGATGGGCTAGCAGGAACATCCCAGACTTCAGAACCCCCAACTCTGGCCACAGAAAGGCTCAGAGTGCAGGCGTGGTCGGGTGAAATCAAAACCCACAGCTGGCTCTGAGGTAGTCCACACCAGATGTCAGGAACCGGGAGGCCTGGCAGGCCAGGAAAGACGTTTGGGCTGAGGTCCAGGAGGCAACCTCACAGTAGAGCGAGCAAGGACTGGGCAGAGACAGGTCGACCACTAACTGCTGGCCCACAGTGACTGCTTAGACCAGGGTGGACATGGACTTCATGGGTAGAGCTGTGGTGCTGAATGAGCACTGCCTCTGTAGTCCAGAGCTCTTCGAGAGTAAAGCCAGTGCCCAGATGGCAAGTGTCCGTAGCGTGAATGAAGGAGAGTATGAATGGACATGGGTTCCCTTCCTCCCACAATGAAGCATGTGCACATGGACGTTTTTAATGGCCCTGGATTGGCACTTTATCCTGGGGTGGGAAGCCTTAAAGAGCAAGAGGCTCTCAGGAATAGCAAGAAACAGGCCACGCATGGTTAGACTAGGAGCTAAGCTGTGAGGGTGGAGATGCAAGAGTCCGGCTTAGAGCTCTGTGGGATACCACTCCTGTCCTCCGTGGTGGTGGCACCCCTCTCCTGGCTTAGAAATGGCACTCCTTGACGTGCTGCTGCTGCTGCCTGGAGCTGGGGAAGCCACAGTCTATTTCTGACACTCCCCACTGAGAAAACCCAAGTGTAGCAGCTAATTACAGCACCGTGTGGGGTGGGAGGGAACCAAAAAAAGGCATGCCAGTAAAAGAGCAGTATCTGCCAGCCCGCTGTGCACGTGGAAGAGGAGGGCCGGGAGGCTGGGCTGCACACCGAGAAGGCACTGCCAGGCCCAGGACTCAGACAGGAGCTACAGGTGTCGAATGGCAGCAGGGTGTTCCGGGGTGGCTGGCAGTCACTGCCAGCTTGGGGACAGAAGGCTGAGGTTCAAGGGAGCCAGCCCATCAGGTGACACCAAAGGTGCTCCTTAGGTCCACCTGCCTCTCACTTAACAGCTCTGCAGTGGTCACTTACACAAGCAGCCTGCTCTGAAAATCCCCGATGGGCCAGCAAGTGCAGGGTATGAACCAGCAGGGAAAGGACACTGGGTGCACCATCTGGAGGTGCAGCTGGGGACCTGCAGGCAGAAGGCAGGATGCACCAAGTAGCTTTGGAGGTGAGTAATGGGATTGCACCACCTTATTCCTCAGGCTAGGAGGCTGATGTGTTTATTCCCTCTGGGTCAGCACAGAGGGTCACAATACCTACACAGCCTGAATTCAGGGCTCAGTGGGGACCACTGCCCTACCCCTCCTGAGCCCCCCCATGTCCTGGATGAACCAACAGAAATGCCGTGAGGGTGCAGGATCCTGAATACAAAGGGAAGTTGCAATGAAAATAGGTGGTCATTACTATTGTTGGCATGAATGTTGTCTGCCACCAGCCAAGAGGGGAGCCTTCCCTGAGCTCCGCTGTGCAACTTGGAAATGAGGACCTTCTACCACCATTCCCACGAGGTGGCTGTGACACATGGTGGTGCAGATGGCATGTAGTGTGTGCACGCCCTCTGGGCTGGCCAGCCTCATGACCTCAGAGGTTTTAGCTCTTTCTGGGAGAACCCAGAAAAACTGCCTCCCCATACTAACCCAGGGAGCGCTGCTGCCATGCAGGGCTTAGCAAGACACTCAGACCAAGAGCCTAGACTTGCCAGAGGGAAAGGGGCCATGAGGTGGGCCAGACCAGCTGAGCAGCAGGAAGGGAAGGATGGACAGATGGGCAGCTGGAAGAGCCACCGAGGTGCAATGCTGGGAGCCTGGGCACCTGGATGCCCATGCCAGGACAAGCTCCAGGGCTCTGAATATCCCTGCCCCCTTGGCCTACTGCTGCACAGTCAATGTGGATGGCAGGCCAGCAACAGCTGCTGGCCCATCTCTTCCCAGATGATACAGATCAGAAGGCTTCCATGTGGCCTGCAAACCATTATGCGTCTGCACAGCAGGAAACAGAGTCACAAAAATCAAGTGCCACAGTCCCCCTGCCACGTAAGCAGCATGGCTCATTACACCCTGCATTTTCCCTTGCTCCTCTGATTATAGACAGGTGTGGTGGCGCCGGCCTGGAATCCCAACACTGTAGGAG